CTACATGCAGACAATACAACATTGTTATTTTAAAAAAACCCCATAAATCTGATTTAGCTAAATGGAAAAGATTTTGAAGTCAGAGAGTTGGAAGGGTTGCTAGACAGCAGCCCCATCCTATGCAGTGCTGACAGACAGACACCTGTGAAAACCTTTAAAGATCTTCAATTTTATCTCTACATCTTCAAGTCTATCAAACTGTAAACATCTGCTGCAGACACCATACAGTTTTCAAATTAAATAAAATCTGATGCATTCTTTGACAAACATAAAATTGCCCAAATTCTCCAAGATCTCTTAGGATTGATTCCTCCGAAGGATTGGTATCATATCTTAAGGACTTGCTTCATGATGATTTTTTTTTTTTTTTTTTTAGCTGTAACACATTTCATAAACTGTTAGCTACATTCCAGCAAATTTTGGTTTTGGGATTTGTTGGAAATTGAAAAAAAGCAACATGCTGATAATTCATTTGTACACATGGCTTGAATTTTACTTCATAAGCATTTAAAAGATTATGATTTATCATGGTGTTATAGTAGTTTATTGAATTTATTTATTTTTACAGTTTGAACAAGCAATAATTTTTTTTATTAAGATTATGCGTTGAGGTAAGGTGCCCACAAATTTTGTCAGTGCATTTGATTTACTGCATTGTCTGTAGTTGGTACATCTGGTGATTGTGGAAACCTTCTAGAACAAAGTAAATTTTGGATTGATGGGTGCTGATAAAGACAGGTACATGTTAACAGTTTGTCTGATAAGTAAGGTGTAAAAACTTTTCATTAAGACAAACATTTCACCTGTCAACATTTTGATGCCTATTCTGCATTGATGGATTCCTCTCATCATTTCTTCAGTAAGAAATAGGATAACTGCTTCCTTCTGTCATTTCCAAATGCATTCTTCACGGTGTCAGTATGTCTGTTATTTGCTTATTGAGGAGGTCAGAGGAGAAGTGTTTGCCTCCCTTAAATAAATTTGGAGGTGTTTCTTTGCCAATGGCTTTTCTTGGATGCCTGTGTACTTTTACCAATAACTGGAATTGGGCCACAGGCTTTTTACTACTACATGTACCTTAATATTTTGTGGATTTGACAGAAAAACAAACATGATTTGTAACTCATCACTTGATTTAATGACCCCATTTTCACTAATGTAGGGAAGTTATTTGATATGATACACTATCTAATCATTGGTATATAATGTTATGAAAGGGAGAGGATGAAGATATAAATTTAAGCAATTTATCAAACTTCAGCAATGTCAGGCACCTGATTATATTCATCAGTGGCCATTTGAAACATTTGGCTGTCAAATACTTCATTATATCACCCTAGAACTTGATAGCCAAGAAAGTGGATAGTGAAAAACAACATCAGTGTTAAGATAAGAGAAATTGTAAGTGACTTTTTAATTGTGAAATATCTGTGAGGTACATATTTTAGAGAAGTCCTTACTAACCCAGATTATTAAGATGTGCACTGGTGCTACCTGACTACAGAAAGGACACAAATTCATGAACTGATTATGTAGAAGTTTTTGATAAGTATTATCTCCCATTTTTGAGTTGGAGGTCTGTGGATTTAGGAAGTAGAGATAATGATGTAGAGTTATTCCCTTTTTTGTGTTTCATAATAACTAATGACTATTGATTTTGAAAGGAAATTTAAAAGCAAAATGTAAGTTAAGGACATTGGCAAGTCAGGGTTTTCCGGAGAAAAAAGGTTTAATACATGGATTTTTTCGCTTATAAAATAGTGATTGAGAGTGATCTCCCGTGTAGAATTCTCTAAGCGGTGAAAACCAATAAAGCGTATGTCACAGAGGTAAACATAAGCACGTGTATCTCCTTCAACCGGTAGAATCATCTATACAGCAAGAAAGAAAAGCTGTAATGGCTTTGTTGTACATTGTATTCAGGGACAAAGAGTCAACAGGTCATTATTTACCATAGTTATGCTCAGTTTGCTGGAAAGGGCAAAGATGTGACATATGCTGAAAGGTAGGTCGACCATGCCGACTGAGAACAGTTCTTAGGTCATGTGAAGGAATCGGCATTTAGTAACTACGAATAAAAGTTAAAAATAAATCCATGACAATATTTTTATGACAATGTGTTTCAATCCAGTCAATTACATGATAAAACTATCAAACAGTCTCTTGACCAATTTTAGCTGTTAAGGGACGCAACTCAAAAATAATGATCGGTGCCGGTATATCCATGTCTTGTTTCTAAATGTACATTTTTAGCCAAAATATCTAGAAGTCATAGGAAATGAAGATACAATAATGTATATAATACAAAAGCTGTATGAAATAAATGGGTTTTGAAGAAATATTATGGTGAAAAATTATGTAGGTCTCTTTTATCAACATTTTACATAGGAAATGCATTAAGAATTGTGAAAACACGAATTTGACAAAATCTAAAAAAGAATGATGGATTGGTAGGTAAAACGATCCAGAATATAGCCTGTTTAGTACATTTAAACCTACTCAAAAGTTCTTGAAAAATTCTATACAATAACCAGGAACCTTGCCAATGTCCTTAAAAAGACCATTTTTGTATGATGCAATGGTGGTTACACCCAGGGAACATGTATATGGAATTTAATTTATCTTTGAGTGGCAAAGTCATTACTGTAACAATGTATCCAGTTTTGGTAGAAGGTCACATTATTTTCCTTAAATAGAATCAGCTCTTCAAGATGTATTAAATGCTTAACTTGATTATCATTCAATACTTTGTGTGTTGTGTGCTAATCACTTTCTGCATTTTGTTACATTTTTGAGGACATATTGGGTGTTGAGAGAAAAAGGTATGATACATTTTGACAATAATGTTTAGTCTGCTATGATTTTTTTACCAGAAAGCCCAAGGGCTAAGAATTTCCCATACCAATATCACTTCCAATTAAAATAGTCTTAGAATAATATTAATTTTCTGCCTATGTAAAACTTGCAGCTGGTCCCCCCATCATAAACCAGTGTTCTTCCTGATCATTAGTGGATAAAGAAAGTCTGTATAATTCTCATCACTTCCAACATCAGCCATTACCAAGGGAGGGAACTGGGTATCATATTTTTCCATCAAGTCTTCTCTTAATCAGTGGAAAGTTTTTCATGTTTGATTTTATCTGCAGAGGAAAGTTGAAAAGATTTGAGACATCAATTTTTGGGTATATCCCGATTTTGTGTGATAACCCACTTTAATTCGTCTGCAGGAGAGGAGGCAAAAAAAAAAATATGTATTTGCAATCAAGCTTTGCCCAGCAAGATTTGACATTTATCTTTCCTTTACTAAACATTTCTTCTTGGAAGCTTCCCAATTTCAATTTCCCTATCATTTTAATGGTCAAAAACTGCATTAAAACACCCTGATCTTGTTTCACTTCAGAAAGTGCAATACGTGGATGCCTGCAACTTCTTGCATGAAGATAATATGTTTCTCAGAATTTAATCTCTCCTTGCTTAGAAAAATTGCAGGTATTTCATTGACATGAACTCATTGTCGGTCTACCATGGTCAAAGTTTACTTTGGTATCTTTTTTGGACTTTTTTTTTTATAGTAAGCCTTTCTTGATTAAGAATTTGTTTTATGATGAAATAATATACACAAAATTTATTTATGGTTAAAGGAAAACAAATTGACAAGGTAGAGAGGTAGAATAAATTTGTTTGGGCTTAGATTCTATTGTGGGTAAATCAATTTTTATTGTATCAGTATACAAATTGCTACAAACTCTTGGAGCATTAGGGGCCTATAAAAGAGAGAAATGATAATGGTCTCTGACTCTCCTTCACTATAAATCTACCCTAAGGCTATAAAGTTTTTCTTACACACTTGTCTGGGATTCCATGAACCTCAGTTAAATTAGACTTTCAGAGATGAGGCTTACAAGTCTATCCCCATGTTTTTTGTTGTACCTTTCTTTCCAATTTTATTGAATGAATGGAGAAGACAGAGTTTATTTGGATGTTGGGCATTCCTCTGTGTTAGCGGAGACAATAAAATCACAGTTTTGATTAATTAACCCTGCCAATCGATAGAAGGTGATTAGTTAAATTGCTTGCCCACACACAACAAACATCACAGAATGCAGGGAAAGTGCTATTAAAGAAAGGGAAAAATATGACAAATGTAAAACATAGAAATTTTATATGCAATAAATGAAATAATATGCTAAAAATTAAACCTTCGTGTTATCTTCGTCTTGTGTTTTTGAGCACTGTTTGACCTAGAATGAAAAAAAAAAAGATGTTGTGTAAAGATGGAGCTGTTTCACTCCTAAAGTATTGACAAAATACCAAGCTTCGAGAGAGTAGGGTAGAAACAAGATTCATCTAAACAATTTCCTATCTGATTGTGTTAACCTAGAGGTCTAACTCTATTACTCGCAAATGTAACAATATTAAACATAATTTGATTGAATGGACGGGCTGGATTCAAAAATCGAAATTATTTTTATGTAGTTATGTTCCTTGCATTGCATTAATACACTCCATTAGTTTGTGATATTTCTAATAGATCTCAGAAATGCTGGATACATGTAGTTTTGTTTTACAGTGCTTGACAAGCACCTGTATGGATAAGAAGCTTTTGTATCACTAGGAAAGGGTGAATTCTGATGGCATAGATATTTGTCATTAAACAATCCTAACATTTATAACAATTAATAAGGCAAATAAAATAATGAAACCATAAATCTCAAAAGGAGTGGGTAAAAGTGATGACGCAGAAGTTTGTAGGGTCCTGTTTGTATAATTACTTGTGGCATAAATTATCTAATTTAAATGCTTTGCATCCAGAATTTGACATATTGAAGATGAAACAGTCTGATTGTATTTATTTTAATTTGCGAATGATTTTTTTTTTCATTCAAATTTTTAAAACATTTGTTCAGCAAATTACATAGTGTTTTATGTTTAAAGTCTTATTAAAAAGGACTAAATTATAATTGACATAGAAAATATTTTTAATTTTCTTATCATTTCAGAGGTGTGTCGGGGATCATCAGAAGGCTTAAGTGCTAGTGGAGCCAGTGATGAAATGCGATATAGAAAACTGAAGCAACGATATGGAAACTGTACCTATGTGGATGGAAATTTAGAAATCAAATTTTTAGAGCAGCCTAATTTTAATTATAATTTAAGTTTTTTATCAAATATTGAGGAAGTGAGTGGATATGTTTTAATTACCTCTGTGACAGCAAAGTATTTACCACTCACTAAATTAAAAATTATACGTGGGAATGAGTTGTTTCACTATAAGAACAACAGCTACAGTTTATTTGTGGCCTTGAATCATGATGCAGGTGGAAAAGTTGGATTAAAGGAACTGTGGTTTACCAATTTATCAGGTATAGGATAATAAATGGAAAGTATATACCAGTATACTTGCTAGGAAATTAGACCTTCAGTATTGATGCCTAAGTCATTCATCTTTCAAATAGATATATACTGGAGGGAGTATATTGATATCACCATTTGTTTGTTTGTTTAATATCCAAGAATTTTTTACTCATATTGAGACACCACCACTTACGGGTGGAGGGCTGCAAATTTAGACCTGTACTTGGGGCTTACAGCCTTTGAGTAATGTTGGATCTTTTTCATGCCAGAACCTACTGTCTCATCCTAAGGATGAGACACACCATGTCACACAGTGGATTCGAACCCATAACAAGGATCAACACTTTCCTTACTCTCTGACTCTAGAGCAAACACTCTAACCACTGCACCATGCATGCAACGATATCATCATTTATGTAAATCTATTGGTGCAAAAATTATGGTAAGAACAGGATTTTGGACATCTGCAGATGCTTTATGGAACACGTTCTTTATTTGCCAAGTTTAGCATTACTCAATTTGATGTACATAAGTACCCACAGCTAGGGAAGCCTTAAGGCATATATTTCTTCACAACATATCGCAGCTAGTATCCTATAGCCAAATTTGAATGCATGATGCATTAATGTGATTTACAAAGTAATATAGTGCAAAGAAGCTTTGTTTTTGAACTCCAAAGATTGGGGGCCTTTTTTGAAAGTAAGCTGAGGCAAAATTGAAAAATTACTGAAATACTTTTAAGTTTCATATAAATTGATAGAGAAAGAGGGGGGGGGGGGGGGTAGCAAGAGTGAAACTTGGATATTTTTAAAATGAATCTGATATTTTTTAGCTCACCTGAGTTGAAAGCTCAAGTGAGCTTTTCGATCACAGTTTGGCATCCGTCTGTTTGTCCATCTGTCTGTAAACTTTTCATGTTTTCGACATCTTCTAAAGAACCACTATGCCAATTTTAATCAAAGTAAGCACAGAATATCCTCTCATAAAGGGGATTCTAAATTGTTCAAATGAAAGGCAAATCCCACTTCCAAAGGGAGATAATCAGTAAAAGGCAAAAATAGGGTGGGACCATTAAAAAAACCTTTTTAAGAACTGGTGAGTCAGGAAAGGTGAAACTTGGGCCACAAGAAGGGATTAAAGTTTTACATTGAAACATTTATGAAAAATCTTAATCTCCTTCTCAGGAACCACTGGGCCTAAAAAGGTGAACTTATGTGGAAGCTGCCTGAGGAAGTTTAGATTCTAAATTGTTCAAATCATGACTGCCAGAGTTAGGATGGAGCCACAATAGGGATGAAAGTTTTATATTAAAATATATAAGAAAAATCATCTTCTCAGCTAGAACCACTTAGCCAGAAAAGGTGAAACTTATGCGGAAGCTTCCTTAGGAAGTGTAAGATTCTAAATTATTCAAGTCATGGACCCTGGGGGTAGGGCGGGCCACAATAAGGGATCAAAGTTTATATTGAAATGTATTAGAAAAATCTTGAGAACCACTAGATTAGAAAAGATGAAACTTAGGTGAAGGCTCTTTGAGGAAGTGAAGATTCTAAATTATTCAAATCATGACCTCTATGGGTAAGGTGGTACCACAATAAGGGATCAAAGTTTACATTGAAATGCATAAGAAAAATCTTTTTCTCAAGAACAGCCATGATTAGTCATATTTATTTGGAAGCATTCTCAGGTAATTTAGGTTCAAATTTGATCAAATCATGACCCCCAGTGGTACGGTGGGGCCACAATATGTGATCTGAGTTTTACATAGGTATGAACAGCAGGGCCAAAATGACTCGAGTGAGCAATGTGGTCCATAGGTATCTTGTTGAAGTGTGTATTGTATTATTAATAATGCATGAATAAGCTTTTCGGAAACAATGATTTGATTTTTTTCTTCCAGAAATAACAAGAGGTGATATTTATTTTCACAATAATGATCTGCTGTGTTTCCATGACACCATTTTATGGAAGGATATTAAGTTTAACCCTAAGTACAGGGTTAATCATAAGACAACAAATACGAATTCTACAGACAGCAAAAATTGTAAGTTATTGTACAATTGATTCTCTTCATTCAGCATCATTTCTTATTTTTTAAAATCAACAGATAATTGGAAGCTGTGTTTTCCATCCAGATTGGCATATGTTGAAATAATCTCAGACCACATGAACGATGTTCATACCAATAGTTTGTTTGAATAAAAAGCATATATGAGATTTAAAAGTGTAGCTTCTAAAGCAAAATAAAAAAAAAGACATCCATGTAATAAGATAAATTGGCATAGTTTTAACAATGTTCACATGTATGAAAATTGGTTGATCCTGCTTCCTAGAATTGCTTTGGCGATCAAAAGGTGTAAATATATATTGTGTGTGTGATTCTTCATAGGATAAAAAGTACACATTTGATAGCTCAGAATAATGTGTGTTTTAGCTCACCTGAGCCAGGGTCTTTATTCCCTTTGACTTATTTTCGATATTTTCATGAGCAGTTGTATGCTGAAATATCTAATTTTGGCTTAATTATTTAATTTTTTTTTAAATTTAGTTTGTTAATGAATTGCTCAATTTCATAGGTCCTCCTTGTGCTCCAGAATGTTTTGAGGAGAAGACAAACAGTCGCCATTGTTGGGGAAGTGGACCGGACAAATGTCAGAATTGTGAGTATTGATCAATATACATTGTATTTTTACAATGAAAACAGTAACTACTGAAGTGTTGATGACAACACCTGATCCATAATCTTATATCACATTGCAAAACAAGACACTGAAAGTCATTGAAATGATCATTTAGAAACTGCAGTAAATTCTTCACACAACCCTATTCTGTGATATGCCTATTAATTAAAACAAATGTTGATGTAATTGAAAAAGATCCAGAAATCAACCAAATAAAGCTCATTTTTAGCTCACCCTGAGCTGAAAGCTCAAGTGAGCTTTCCTGATCACCCGTCGTCCATTCATCCATCTGTAAACTTTTCACATTTTCAACTTCTTCTCAAGAACCACTGGGTCAGTTTTAACAAAGTTGGTACAAAGCATTCTTGGGTGAAGGAGAGTTTAAATTGTTAAAATGAACGACCAAACCCCCTTACAAGGAAAGATAATCAAGAAAAGACAAAAATAGGGTGGGATCATTAAAAATTCTTCTCAACAACCACTGGGTCAGAAAAGCTGAAACTTATATGGAAGCGTCCTTGGGAAGTGTAGATTCTAAATTGTTCAAATCATGACCCGTGAGGGTAGGGCGGAGCCCACTAGGCCAGAAAAGCTGAAACTTATGTGGAAGCATCCTGGGGTAGTGTAGATTCTAAATTGTTCATATCATGACCCCGGGGTAGGGCAAGGCCACAATTGGGAATTCAAGTTTTACATTGAAATATACAGGTAACTCTTGATGGCTCGAACTTCAATCTCTCGAAGTTCTTGATCGCTCGAAGTGAGTCTCCGGTCCCGAATTTTTCCCCTATATAACTAAGCAAATTTACTCTTGATTTCTTGAACTCTTGATCTCTCGAAACCCTTGATCCCTCGAAGTCAAAATGCAGTCCCACTATGCATATTCTATTAGAATTTACCCTCGATACCTCGAAGTGGCTATGTGTACGCAAGCGTTACATAATTTACACCTTTACCTGGACATTTAAATGACCCCAGGCATTAGACCTGGTCTTGAGGAACGGGATGTTTATTCAGGTGACACTTATATTGCTGCAAGGTGACAATTGATTTATAATTAATTATATTTTGCCTATATGCTATTAAAATAAATATCATCGACTGTCTTACGATAATTTAGAGACGCAGAGTCAGTGAAAAGTAGTAATTTATTAAAAGACAAAACACTAATTTAATTTTTATTTCGAGTCAGTGTCAAAGTTAAACGAAATATGAAAAAGCAGAAACAGCCTCAATGTCAATATGACGACTATTATTGGACAAATACTTGCAGAACTGCGTTCAATGATCATTTTTGGAATAGTCAGTGCTATGTGCGACACTGTAAAATATTGTTTTCATGAAATGACGATATACATTTTTTGCTTTAATCAGTTTATTGAAATATTCATCTAAATTATGAAAAAATACCGCTGTTTTATAAAAAAAAAAAAAAAAAAAAACGTGTAAAAGGTTAGCACTGCATGAAAATCATTATATCGGGTAAGACTAATTTTAAAACCTTTCAACAAACCTGGAAAATTGCGGAATCTTGAAAACTCAAACTCTTGATTACTTGAAGCTTTTCCTCGGTCCCACGGACTTCGAGGTATCAAGAGTTACCTGTATAGGAAAAATCTTTAAAAATCTTCTTCTCAAGAACCACTGAGTCAGAAAAGCTATAACTTATGTGGAAGCATCCTGGGATAGTGTAGATTCTGAGTTATTCAAATCATGACCCCTGGGGGTAGGGCGGGGCCACAATTGGGAATTCAAGTTTTACATTGAAATATTTAGGAAAAATCTTCTTCTCAAAAACCGCTGGACCAGAAAAGCTGAAACTTAAGTGGAAGCATCCCGGGGTAGTGTAGATTCTAATTTGTTCAAATCATGACCCCCGGGGTAGGGCAGGATCACAATAGGGAATCCAAGTTTTACATTGATATATATAGAAAAAAAATCTTTGTCAAAAACCAGTGGGCCGGAAAGCTGAAACTTATGTGGAAGTATCCTTGGGGAAGTTTAGATTCTAAATTGTTCAAATTTTGACCCTTGGAGGTAGGGTGGGGTCACAATAGATATTACAAGTGGGGAAATCTTGTGAAGAACAGCAGGGCCAAAGTTACTCAGGTGAGTGTTGTGGCCCATGGGCATTTTGTTTATGGAAGGAAATCTTTTAAATCTTCTCAACAATAACATTGCCATAATTAGTCATCTGGATTTCATAAATCATTTACCTACTCAGATCACCTGTAACACAAAACTTGTCACTTTTGATGTCGTAAGTTTATATACCCGGTACTAATATTCCTACAGAATTAGGATTGGAAGCTGTAAAATTTTGGATGGAAAATTATCCCGATGTACTAAATGACAGATTCCAACAGAATTTTATTTTAGAAGCACTTAAATTAGTTCTAGAAAATAATTCATTTGCTTTTTCTGACCATCATTACCTTCAAACTAAGGGAACTGTAATGGGGACGAAAGTCGCACCTACCTATGCAACATTAACCTTAGGTTATTTAGAACATAAGTTACATGAACAATTATGTTCTTTGTGGGGAGTAGAATCTGCTTATAATATACAGTCTAAATGGAAAAGATTTTTAGACGAATGTTTTATCTTATGGGATGATGATGTCGACAAATTATTGGAGTTTTACGATCTACTAAACCAAATGAACTCGGATATCAAATTCACGATGGAAACAGATGATACGCAAATGCCATTTCTCGATGTTCTTATATCAAAAGATAATACCAGCTTAAATACGGATATATACTATAAGCCGACAGATACACACCAATATCTGCATTTCAGATCGTGCCATCCCCACCATACTAAAACGGCTATACCATATAATCTCACAAGAAGGATCTGTACCATTGTGAGCAATATTAATACGAGGGATATCCATTTGGAGGAATTAAAATTGTATTTATTGAGCCAAAAATACCCAGAGCAACTGGTAGATAATAGTATTATGAAAGCCAAGGAGTGTGATAGAACACAATTACTTTCAAACAAATGACGTGCGAAGGACGGAGAAACAATACCCTTTGTTCACACGTACAATCCGAGAAATAAAAACATCAATTCAATTATTTATGAATTAAATAGCTTACTTAGAGAGGATGAACAAACGAGAACTACATACAAAAACTGTCGTTTTATCAGCAGTAAACGTCAGCCCAAAAACCTTAAGAGAATACTTTGTTCCTCCCAATTCGCTGACCATAATTATACAGTGTCAAAGTGTACGGACCCTCGATGCGGCACATGTGACTACATTACAGAAGGGACGAGTTATAATTTTAACGGGCGTGAATTTAAAGTTAATGCCAACATGTCATGTGATACGAAAGATGTCATATACGCCATCACATGTCCTGGATGCAAAGAATATTATATTGGTAAAACTGGCAACAGTCTCCGTGCCCGTGTACGTGTACATAAGCAACACATCAGTACACCTGAATATAGACAAATCCAGTTAAGTGCACACCTGGAAACTTGTGGAAAAAAACGACTTAACATTTTCCCTTTTTATGAACTCAGATGTGCCAGTGATATCCAGAGACGGGAAAAAGAAAAACATTTTATTTGTATTCTAAAGCCAAAGCTTAATAGTCTCTTATAAACTACCTATGATTTTCCCGAACTTTTTCATCATCATTGCAGTATTTTATCTATGACGTCACAATATAGACATTAAACGTTCCGCTTAGTTTAACGTCATAATCATTGTTACTATGTTACCGTTGTATACATTTTTGTAATGTAAAGCTTCTGAAGATTTTTAATGAAAGCGCTAAAGCTTTACGGAGGATTCTTGTGTTTTCTTTTTATATTTGTTTAATATATATATATTCATTTATAAGCCAGGAAAAAAAATGTTGACTCAGGTTAGCCTTATTGTCCATGGACCTCTTGTTGCATTTTTCAGTGATCAGAGAACTTTGTCATCCAAGTTGTGATACTGGCTGTTTTGGAAAAGAAATAAATCAATGTTGTCATAGCCAGTGTGCTGGAGGATGTTATGGTCCAAGGAGCACAGATTGTGTGGTAGGTCACCCAATGAGTGGATATTATTAAGTTATTATTATGTAGGAATCACATGAGGGCCATCATCATTTTTTCAGCCCTTCAGTAAGAACTTTGTAACATTTCTTACCCCAGGAGAAGGGGGGGGGGGGGGTTAGACATTTTTTTTTTCTGAATTCCTATTTAATAACTGTTATTATACCAGAAACCATCCTGGTTTATTAAACTATTACATATAAACCACTAACTTCTTAAATTAATTTAAAAATTAAATGCTTTCTTTGGTAGTTAGTATGGGAATCAATGTTACAGCTGTTGCAGAAAAAATACATAACCTGCCAACATAATTGCAGTTTGATAACCCCAACTGCTGCACCTAAAGTTACTTTTATGGATTTTATTATATACCCAAGAGTGTATCACTCAATTTTACTGTAGACTTCGTACAATCACGTGACGGTGTGATTCGACTTTCCGGATCACCACACTGTGGTTTTCTGAATCCATATCACCCCTCTCTGAAATTGATGACGTAGTACACAGAAACATGACGTTATTTTTCATGCGCATCAAAAAGTTCCTAGACAAAATGCTTTGTTTAATGGAAAAATCTTATATAATTGATCTCAAAAGTTTTTTAAAACTATATTTTGCTAGTTGTAAAGGGGTATATAATAAATTTATCATTATAACAGTAACTTGATCCGAAGAGCCGTATCACGTCTTGTTGACAGGCGCGGATCATCAGATCAAACTCGACGCTTTGCGTCTCGTTTGATCTGATGATCCGCGCCTCTCAACTCGACGTGATACGACTCTTCGGATCAAGTTACTGTTATAATAATGTATATATATCATATATATGCATGTATATGTGTGTGTGTGTATGTGTTTATTTGTATGTAATCTTTCATTCAGAACTTTCTATCTTTTCAGTGTATGCCATCTGGGCCCAAAATTGGAAAATAAAATTATCTATCTTATCTCATACGGGTTATGTAAATTTTTTTCTGCAATAGCTGCAACATAGATTCCCATACTAACAAAGAAAGACCTTGTTTATATTTTCATCTATATATATCGTATAAAGAAGGTTAAATATTGTATTACTGTATGTACATACAGGTGACTCTCGATGGCTCGAACTCCCTTCAAAGTTCTCAATCTCTCGAAGTGAACCTCCGGTCCCGTTTTTTTCTTTATATAACTAAGCAAATTTACTCCTGATCTCTCGAACTCCCGATCTCTCGAAGTTCTCTTTCTCGAGAACCAAGACCTTGGTCCTGTTACACACATTTCATTGTTTTTTACTCTCTATCTCTCGAAGTTTTTGATTGCACATGTATACACGCCAATCAAGTGTAAAATCAATTATATATAATTGTCTTTATCATTTTTTTGATGAAGTCGCCATGGTTACTAAAAATAGAAATTTTTGTAAAATTCTTTCAAAAGGCAACTCCTCCTACAGTTTTAGTCTGATTGCAATAAATCTTGCCACAAAAAGAGACTAAACCAAGGATCATTATTCTTTTTATTGCTGTTGCAAAGTTTCAAGTGCAAGTGCTACTTTTCTCTTCCTTTGTTACAAGTACAAACCAGTCGAGCTACAGTCTCACAGAGACTTCTGGTTAACCTTATTACGTAATGTTTGGTGTTGCTGCTGTAAATAAAAGTACAGTCAATTCTTTAAAGTATCATTTTGAAATGTTTCCTCTCCTGTAGTTTTATGGGATCTGAGTTTAATTGTACTGTTTGTTATTTGTAGTTACATTTTATATTTTTCAGGCTTGCAAAAACTTCTACAATGAAGGAATGTGTGTTAATGAGTGTCCAAAACCCAAGATATATAATAGATTTACCATGCTGCTAGAAAACAATCCTGATGGAAAATATGCATACAAATCTTTATGTGTGAAAGAATGTCCAGGTATAAACTCTCTCATACTATTAATATAACCCATAAGGTTTGATTTGAAATTATTCATTTATAATAAGGGGGGAAAATCATGAAACCAGTATTTAATTGTTTTTTCAATGGAACTAAGATAATGTTATGTATATAGAGACATGTAGGTTTGAGAAAAGAATTATTTGTAAATACAGATGTGATAAATTTTGGAAATATGCTTTCAATCTTAGGTGTTAATATGTATACATGCAATCTTATTAACACCAGGCTTCTAAGATCCACTCCCTAAACTCTGTCTGATTTTAATAAAAATAGAGATATGTTCTGCTGGTTTTCTAAGTTACAAATCACACTATCATTATTCATGATTGACATAACTAAGGAAGAGGAAAATATAATTACTGAAACAAACTTTTTGACTTCTAGAGTAGAATGATTGGATATTTAGGATTTGTTTTACGTTTCAAAGATGGTATACATATTTGTGCTTGTTTTCAATTTTATTTTATTTGTTACAGATTATATGTTGAAAGATGAAACGAATGCCTTGTGTGTTAGGAAGTGTCCAGCAGAATACTACCCAGAAAACAACACTTGTGTACAATGTCAAGGAATTTGTCCAAAAAGTGAGTTAATAAGCAAGTCTTTTAAGTAGGTAAAAAAAATAAAGTAAACTGGCATTATTATGCTTGATAAGTAAAGATAAGGCAACTTTTGTGAAACTGAAGCTCAGTAACTTTCACCCATGTTGTGTACAAATTGGTATGTGTGTTATACATGTATTAACTACAGTGGTTCCCGTTTTATCGAATAGTCAAGTTGTCAGCCTTGTTTTATCCGAATAGCCGAAAATTAGAATAGCCGATTGCTTCATACCGAGTCCAAAGATAGATGCATAGAGCTACATGTATTGATAATACATCGTAACAAATTTCCAGCTTGCACATTCGTTTTCTTTTGACATGTTTACTTAATGACTTTACTAAAAATAATTTATTTTACTTACTTATGAATTTAATATGAAATTTTTTTTCAAATAAATTGACGTATAGAATATATTCTTTGATAGTTATTGCCATCTTTCTTCAGCACATGTTTACATTCCTTCTTCGATGGTCGCCATTTTGGAAACGGAAGTAGACTAAATGCTTGACTAATAACCGTAAACTATTTTTCCCTGCATAGATTGTAAATTAAAAATAAACAAAAATATTAAATATATGTAATTGTTTCGTTTTTATTTGTTTCTTTAATACGGTTGCGTATTTTATACTGTGTGTGAGTTTACCAGTCTCGTTCTTGTCTGCTGAAGAGAGATTTTGAGAGCCATGTGGAGAAAGATGGTATGAATTTTGAGACGTATTTTTATAGAACGGGCCATTTATTATTTTTACCATAAATTTTGCACTGAAAAGTGAATAAATATTAAGCCAATTGACCAAGTTAAACGATTGAATAGGCTTATTTCATTATCCAAGTAAATTGTCATACACAAGCTAATCAGTTTAATAAATAAATTTTACGCCGAAAAAATTGCAGATAATTGTCATAATTAACAAGTGCATCATTGAACCCAAGCTGATCACCACAACTGTAATCAAAACATATCTATTTACTATGCCCACTATTGACACAGGTAAGGTGCCTGTGTGCGTCCAGCCGTAACTAATCCTCTCATTGTCGTACTCAAGCCAGTCAAGGTAATTGGTGTCAAACTGTGTAAACAAAGGCTTCACATACGAAGTTGGAGGTGTGAACAAGGTGCTGATTATCAAAAAACACTATGATAGTCAAAATTTTTGTATCGGATAAAACGAAATTCCAATATTTTCTCATCAGAATATCAGGTGAAATTATTAATAAATATATAAGAAATGGTTTTGTGCTCTGATATTATATTGAAATAGCCGAAATATTCGTTAAACCGCTATCCGATAAAATGGAAGCCACTGTATTTATTTTCTACTAGGAACACTCAATGAATTTAGACACAGGAAACTCAAAAAGTGAAGTTGGTCACAAATAAGCAATTGAAAAATTTAGTTATATCACTTGTCTTCAGTAATTTTTTTCCAACTGGAAACATGATCTTTTTTAAAATATATGGTATTTAATATAGGGTTAATAAGTATTTCTATTTGAGTTCATGTTAATGGAATTTGTTCATGCTATAAGAAAAGAAAAAAAGTGAAACCTATGCTTTTTAAAATGAATCTCTGTACTTAATACATGTATTTAGATTTGTGAAACATACTTCACATTATTCAATAGATAAATAAAAACAAAAACAAAAGCCAAAAAAAAAAAAAACACAAACAAATCAAGCAAACCAAAAAAAAAAGTTTCTCAGTGCAAAAATTTCAAAATTATTTTTTTTTAAGTCAGTGTTATCTTTTGTCAGTCAACAAAATGATGATAACAACTGATTCATACTTTCTGTATTCTTATAGCAAGCGCAGCAAGCTCTTAAAGCAACGCCTGGGCGAAGAGAAAATTTGGATTTTGCACATTGACCCAAACAAATTTTTTTCCACAGTAACCTGTGGTCCCGTAATGCTTTGCGAATTGCATCTCACCACAAATTATGATCTCGCGGTAGCAACAAAAGTTCAACAAAAAATAAAAGCACATTGATTTAATGGATATTACAGAAAATACAGTAGATTAAACATTCTTCATTATAACTAGCACTGTGCTTGATTCGATTTGGTAATGCAACTTACATACGATGTCATGTGACGTCAGAGTCTAGATTGACTTACCAAATGTCACACGTGGTTTGAAGAGACAGATTTAAATTAAAACTGAATAGGTAGTTCTGGCTTGATAGCATCTTTGATATAATTATTTGATCTTTCAGTCATTTTCAATAAACATTTTGAAATTCCTTTATATTATTACCCATTTTATATGTGTCTTTTTTATTTGTCATTTCTTTCTGTTGATAGGATGTGACGGACTGAAAGCTGATGAGTTTTTGTCCAGTCAGAACATTGACAGATTTCAAAATTGCACTGTTATTGATGGGAATCTCAAGATTGTTCAGACAACTTTTGATGGGTAAGTGAAAAACTTTTTGTTGATTTTTTGTTCAAAGTTCTGTACTTATTTCAAATTGATTTTGGCCCTTTGTGGGTTCTACAGTAATCATTCTAGGCTTGTGCATCTGTTGGTTCATTGTTTTTTTTTTAAGCTTAATTGTTTTTCCCAGTGGAGCATTTTCAATGTTCTGTATAAGTGCTTGGCAGAATACCCTCAAGAATATACAATGTAAATTTAATTTAAAGAATGGTAAGAAGTTCATATTTACGTCACTTGAGTCATTCGAGATACTCAGGTGACCCTTAAGGCCATGGGCCTCTCGTTATCTAATAAAGTGTGTTGTAAATTTGTATAATTAGACTGTTTATTTAGGGATAACTACCAGAAACTGAAAGGTTTGAAAAGAGAGCAGTTAGATGTTCTGAAGACAGTGAAGGAGATAACTGGTTATTTAATGGTACAGGGAGGAAACAGCCAAGAAATGCCTGATCTCTTTTTTCTTTCTAATCTGCAAATAATTCATGGTCGTGAACTAGACATGTAAGTTCAAATGGCTTTGTGTACGATTTTAATTTGTTAACTTCTTGTTTATTTTTTTCTCAGAAATCATAATTTGGTTCTTTTTAGAAGCATTATTTAATTCATAATGGCATATTGTCTTAATATTCAGATGACTTGTTCTTTCACAGGCATACTGGGGTAGCCCTAGGAGTTTTTCAAGTACCTCTCATTAGAGAACTAGACCTTCTTTCTTTGAAAAAAGTTTTAAATGGAAAAATTTTAATAGGAATGAACCCAAACCTTTGCTATGTTAAGCCAGAAATGTTTATGAACATCGTCGACATCAGTTCACAAGCAATTTTTATTCAACATAATAAGGACCCTGAACTATGTAGTATGTATACGATGGAGAAAATTATAAGAATGCTAGTGTATAACATGTAGCTCTGAAGCAGTTCTCTGATCACTGCAGATCACTTTTTGAGTAAAATATACTTTTAACTTATTTCATAGATAAATTTCTAGTTATCTTAATGAATTTATTAACAGACCCAAAGCAAATTTTAAAAAAAAAGGTTATATGTAAAAGATTTCTGCGGTGATTTAAAGGTTTGCTTCATGTTGACCAAGATCTACTGTTGATGAGTGAATGGGTAGTGCAGACCTCCTGGCAGATATGTTTAGAAAACAAGACATGTTAGCTTATGTATGTTATATGAATTGAGGAAGATCCACAGAGCCATGGCTTATTAAGACTGCATGACTCATAAATGCATGTTGATCCAAAGACATATACACAATTGGTTCAGTTTAATGTCCACAAATATTGACAATTTTTGAAATTTTCATGAATTTTTTGTAGATATGGAATTTTTGTTTGGATTTTGATTAATTTTGGAATGCTTTAATAAATACTAGTAAAATTTTAGTAAAATGGGAAGTTCTTTTGCAACAGAGCCCAGTAAGAAAACATGTTTGTAAAGTGAGTACAGGGCCACAGGTCTTTATTTAGATCCCCTCAGAGTTTTCTGAATGATTCTTATAATTTTTGGAGCCCCAAGTTGAGGATCATTCACATAATGATAAATCTCTGTCTCGTGGGCCTTCTTCTGAATGCATGATTGATGTGCTTTTTGTTTCTATTTTTAGAGCAGGGAATGCATTTAGTGCGATTATGACAAAACTTAAGTCACTGGAGTTGATTTCGCTGCAAAGTATAAAAAATGGAAAAATAAGCCTGTATCGGAATGAGGATCTGTGTTTTATTGAGGGCACTGATTTTACTCAACTCTTCACTGTGCAAAAAAATCCAGGTCAAGAATTCAAAATCAAAGATTATGTACTGACCAGGGAAAATCGGCCCCCTTACAAATGCAGTACGTGAAGTTTTTTGATGAATTTTTGCACTTCTTTTCTTGTGTACATCTTGTTTGAATTTGTCAAGCTGTCAGACTGAGTGATCACATATTCACACATTCAATTTCATGCAAATATAAAATTTGTTCTGATAATTGTAAACTTAGTTTGAAGGAAAGTTTAGTAATTAAGCTTTGCATTTATCTTTAAAATGTGGAAGTATTCTGGGGTTGGGGGAAATTGTGTATAGGACAAACATGATGATTAAAAAAATTAAGTTTCATTAAGTGAAAAGTAATTTATGTCGTAGAGATTTATTTTTACACAGGTAGAGGAAACATCTGAAAATGCACACAATAATAACATTCTAGTAATTTTTTCTATTTTGAATAGCAATAGGTATATCTTTCGAATGGATGGTAGAATTTTCTGATTGTTTCAGAAACATCTATGTTTATTTTTAAATACATTCATGTATTTGAATTCTGCTTTTTTTTTAACCTATAAAAGAAAATACAAAAGTTGTCATGTTTATGCTCATCATTTGCCTCACAATCAGAGCTGTTTTCTGCTGACATTGACTTGAAGAGAGTTTTGTTTGCATGGTTTTTGACTTGATTTGTGGTTAATGATCGCTCATGAGAAAGTTTGGCTATTTAAACAAAATGAAGGTACTGCTGGTTAATATATATTCAAAATATTTTAAATTTATTTTCATAAATATTATATAAAACAGATTAGTTTGTTTATACCTGTTTTTATATGTGTATCTTGCTAAAGGAACCAGATAGACCTAAACCAGAAAGATTATACCAGCAGTGCAAAACATAATAGTTATTACTCTTTGGGTCTCATATGCAGTATTAACATGTCTTTACATGAAAAAAAGTACCGAATTCCATTTTACCTCATGTCTGCTACCAGTATGTGAAATTTTAAATGAGCAAGTAAAACTAATTTTGTTTTTTTTTTCGTTCCCACATATATTCCTGGAAATCCCTTGATATTTATTTATGAAAACAAATGAGTTGGTAACTGATTAACAAATCCTCTGTGTTAGTTGAAAATCTAAAATGTCTCAACAATGCTTTTGACTGTATAGTCTGGGCAATGATGTGCAGTTATTTCCCTTGTTTTCCACTGATGATCAATATTGTGTTTAATTTCCAGGAATTCCGAATAAAGTAAATGTTTGTAAAGAATCAAAGTCCATAGAATGCAAGCATGATAAAGACCAAATAATACATCTTGTAGACTTATTTTTCTTGGACACAAACTAATCTAGAGGTGAAAATCTACAATTTTACAGAATTATGCAAGAATAGTTTAAGGCTCATGTTTTTTTTTTTTGTTTTTGTTTTTGTTTTGTTTTGTTTTTTTTTTTAAATTTTTTTAATTTTTTTTTTTATTTTGAAAGAATTGGCCTGAAATATACAGCTAGTCATACGAATTGGGGAGAAAAGAAAGATATTTATATAGTTATACATTAACATTAATTAACATGGCTTATGGTAATCATGTATTTAGATTTTTTGGATGCATTATTTTAGAAATCACTTTTTGTTTTTAATTTTAAAAACTGGCAGAAACATAGATTTAGATTATCAGAGATAGATTAGATTAGAATTAAGTAAATGATTACACTGATGCTAAAATTAAAAAAAGTTTAAAGTTTCCAAAAATGTCAAAGAACAGACTAAATGCTGCAGCATTTAACTATGTCCCTTGTCCATGTTTTTGTGTTGCCTGTGATGTTCATGTGTGGTACCTGTTATTGTCAGTACATGTATTAACAGTGTGTTGTTCACTCTGTCACATAGCATTTATTATCTAAAATAAATGACATGTATTCCTCATCTGTGAGGATGTGCATTTTGGGCATGAACCTGAAAAACTTGAATTTTCTCTGAAAACAAATTGAAGCTTCCAAAGACTCCCATGTTATTCAATCAGTCTCCATTCTTTCCTTCTTTTTATATGAATGCTGCATGACACTAATGCATTTTAATTTTGTTTATCAAGTCTATTTAAAAATAATGAAATTTGAAAATGATATTACATTTTAAAACCATGGATTACAAAATAAAAATGTTAAATTTCTTTCTCAGAAATAGATTTTAAATTTAATTTGCTAATATAAATTATGCATCAAAATTGTTATGAAAATGATATTGAGATTAACTGATAACAAAGAATATGACCAATATAAACTTGTACCACTTTAGAACAAGATGGACAAGTGTGTCACCAAAGCTGCTCTGATGAAGGTTGCTGGGGGAAAGGTGCAAACAAGTGTCTGAGGTGTCGCTCCTACAAGATTGACAACAGTAGTAACATTTGTATTGACCACTGTAAACAGGTCCCCATGATGTATGATGCTGGCAATCGTCTGTGTGCGTTCTGTAATGAGGAATGTGATGATGGATGTGTTGGAGCTGTAAGTTATACATGTTTTACCGTCATAGTATTTTAAAGGGGTATTAATCTGATGGAACATGTGACATATTGTTAAGTAAAAGTTACATGAAAGATACTTTTATATGCTAAGCTCTGTTAGTCAATCATGCATATTGTATCCATAGGGGCCAGGAAATTGCACAAAATGCAAACATGTCACCATGAAACATCATGATAATACAAGCACCTGTTTGAGACAGTGTCCTAAAATGTTTTACCCAGATGAGAAGAATACTTGTTATCCATGTCATGTTAACTGTGCAGAAGGGTCAGTATCCTTATTTGTGCACTATTGCAGTTAAAACTAAACTTTCAATACTTACATTTTTAGGTCACCTGAGTCACTCAGGTGACCTATTGCTATCTCTTTTCATCCGTCGTCGTTCGTTGGTTGTAAACTTTTGAATATTTTCAGCTTCTTCTCTGGAACCAGTGAACCAATTTCAACCAATTTTGGCATATAGCATCCATGGGTTAAGGGGAACAAAAATTGTGAAATTCATCAAGGCCCCTGTCCCCCTGGGGCCTGAGGGGTATGGCCAAAACCATCAAAATTAATGCAATCTTTAAAAATCTTCTTTACTCCTGGACATCAAGCAGTCAAACTGTTGGCATAATTGTAATAAGCATTGAGTCCTCTACTTAAATTGGGAAATTCATGGCCCCAGGGTCAGGGGTTCTGGTGCTAGGGTGGGGCTCTGTTGACTGTATAGTGAAAATGCATTATTCCTGAAAAGATCTCCTCTGCTCCTGGGTATTCAGGAAACAAACTAAATGCATAGTTATGATGAGCAAGTGTGTCTCTTCCAAAATTGTGAATTTCATGGCCCCTGGGTCAGGGGTTCTGTAGTTAGGGTGGGGCTCTATTTATTATATAGTGAAAATGCATTAATTCTTTGAAAACCTTCTTCTCTGCCCCTGGAGATTATTTTAACAAACTAAGTGCATGATTATGATAGGCAAGTATGCCTCTTTTAAAATTGTGAAATATATTGCCCCAGTGTCAGGGGTTCTGGTGTAAGGAGGGGGGCTCTATTGATTATATAGTGAAAAAGCATAATATCTTTGAAAATATTCTTTTCTGCTTCTGGTTATAAAGCAAGGAAACTTAAGTGTATAGTTATGATGAGCAAGAGTGCTTCATTCAGAATTTTGAGTTTCATTGCCCCTGTGTCAGATGTTCTGGTGTAAGGGTGGGTCTCTAATGATAATATAATGAAAATGCATTAATTCTATTTATTAATCCTGTCTGCTCCTTAGTGTTGAGCAGATAAACAAATTGCATAGTTATGATGAATAAAGGTGCTTCTAACAGAAATTTTAAAACTTGTGGTCCCATGCCAGGGTCAGGGGATCTGGTATTACCGGGGGGGGGGGGGGGGGATCTGGAATTACCGGGGGGGGGGGGGGGCTTTTGATAATATAGTGGAAATGTGTTCTTTGAAGTGCATAGTTATGATGCTGAGGGTAACTCTTCCATATTTGTAAATTTCTTGTAGGGCTGTGTTGAATCTGTAGTGAAAATGCATTATGCATGTGAAATTCTTCTCTGCTTCTGGGCATATCAGGGGCAAACTGAGTAAAAGTTTTAATAAGCAAGGGTAGTTTTACCAGATTTTTGAACATCTGGACCATTTGGTCAAGCAATCAGGTCCTTGATTGGCAGGGCTCTATTAATTTTTATTCTACTGAGAGAAGTTATTCCCCTTTTCCATTCACCTTTGATAATTAATAACTGTAAATAACGTATTTGAAAGGTTAATAGAATAAGAGAATTGTGCTAGAATTTTTATTGTATAATAAAAAAAGTACTTTCTTAGTTTTAATGATCAGGTAGACCTTTAAATAATAGATAAATAAAAATGAGGCAAAAATATCTTATTAAATATTCTTCAAAGACCAAGAGGTCAATGTGAGAGGTTATATTATGGCATTAAAGATAGAACAGAAGCACCAATAGTTTGTTAATAGTCTACATGGTGCTAGTGATGAGAGGGGGACAGATTAGAACTTAATTTATGAGTTGTTACTGAATAGTAGACTTAATTATTTTGTTTATCCTGATCTTCCTACTTCTCTTGCTTTTGGGCAACAAAGCTTCATCTATCAATTGAATTTATACTCTATGATCCTCTCAATTGTTGTATTATACTCAGGTGACTGTTAAGGCCCTTGGGCCTCTTGTTTAGTCTTCTGAAAATTTTGAATAAAAATAATTAAGCTGCAGACTTGAAGCATTGAACATATTTTTGTGCAGGGTGATATTGGGTGTTAGAATTATGTCAGAATATATTTTGCAACTCATTGATCATTTCACAGATTTTAATTGGTCAAAATTTAAAGAAATTAAGACATAATGAATTGTTATACCTTTAAAAATTGGTTCCTATATGAATTTATACATGTACTTTAAAAAGTCTAACATTTGTAATGTTTTACTGAGCGGTCATAAAAAATCGATGTTTGACCACAGAGTGAGATATTGGACCTGTTGATGAGATATTGAACTGCTTACTTCACATTGTGGGTGGAATCAGCTAAATCTTATTTATTATTTTGCATACACTGGTGTTCGACAGTGAAAAAATTGAACAGTTTTACCGCAATGCTGGTAAAGGAATTTTATATCAAGGATGCCAACACAAGATACATGTATGTCAAAAAAATAAAAGGTATAACAAAACATTTATTGACTGTGTTCTCGGGCAAAATGTATTTTGTTGACCCCTTGAACCAAACTGTTTGTCTTCGGCCTAATGGCCTCAAGCAAACAGTTTGCTTCTTTGGTCCGACAAAACACATGTTGTCCTGGAACCCAGTCAATAAATATATATGATTGGTCTCTCCTCATGCTGCTGTTTGCTATACCTGTTTAATCATTAGCTGCACAATTTTTATTTTAGCTGCACTGGGCCATCAGATAAGGTAGGAAAAGGAGGCTGCAACACCTGTGAACTTGCTATTGAATTAAACCACTCTTCCTTCAGATGTATAGCTGACAGTGAAAGTCAGCAGTGTCCACATGATTACTACCAGGCCACTGTGGGCAAACAAATCTCAAGTTTTCTTGAAGGCAGACAAGTAAGTTGGTAGAATTTGAGCATTTCTTAGTGATACTTCAAAATCATTTTATTTCATACATGCACCAAATTAGGTATTTAATTACTTGTCATTGATAACATATTTCACTTTTGATACCTGATCTTTTAATATTTATATTCATTGAATATTTTCTTTTTATGCCCCCGGATCGAAAGATCCCGGGGGTATATTGTTTTTGTCCTGTCTGTCTGTTTGTCTGTTTGTTTGTCTGTTTGTCTGTGTGTCTGTTGTCAACTTTAACCTTGCCCATAACTTTTGATTGGTTGGAGCTATGACTTTCATATATCACATGTGTATTCCTTGTGACAAGACCTTTCTTTGGGTACCATCATAGTTGACCTTTTGACCTTGACCTTGGAGTTTGACCCACTTTTGCAAAATTTTATGAGACTTTAACCTTGGCCATAACTTCTGAACAGTTGGAGCTTTTGGTTTCAAACTTCACATGTGTATTCTTTGTGACAAGGCCTTCTTTTGGATACCAACCACTTTGACCTTTTGATCTTGACCTTGGACTTTGACCTACTTTTGAAAAACTTTAACCTTGGCCATAACTTTTGAACAGTTGGTGCTTAGGGTTTCAAACTTCACATATGTATTCCTTGTGACAAGACCTTCCTCTGGATATCAACCACTTTGACCCTTTTGACCTTGACCTAGGAGTTTGACCTACTTTTGAAAAACTTTAACCTTGGCCATAACTTTTGAATGGATGATGCTAGGGCTTTCATACTTCACATATGTAATCCTTGTGACAAGACCTTCCTTTGAATACCAACGACTTTGACCTTTTGACCTTGACCTAGGAGTTTGACCTACTTTTGAAAAACTTTAACCTTGGCCATAACTTTTGAATGGATGATGCTAGGGCTTTCATACTTCACATATGTAATCCTTGTGACAAGACCTTCCTTTGGATACCAACCACTTTGACCCTTTGACCTTGACCTAGGAGTTTGACCTACTTTTGAAAAACTTTAACCTTGGCCATAACTTTTGAATGGTTGGTGCTAGGACTTTCATACTTCACATATGTAATCCTTGTGACGAGATCTTCCTTTGGATACCAACCACTTTGACCTTGACCTTGACATTTGACTTTTATTTAAAAAACTTTAACCTTCACCATAACTTTTGAACAGTTGTATCTAGGTCTTTCAAATTCCAAAGGTGTTTTCCTCGAGACAAGATCTTTCTTTGGGTATCAACATTTTTTATCTTTTGGCCTGGATTTTGACTTGCATTTGAGAAACTTTAACCTTCGACATAAGCTGGCATACGGGGGCATAGTGTTTCACAAACACATCTTGTTCATTTCTTAATCAATCCATTAAATTTAAATTAAATTTAAATCATGAAATGTCTTTCTCTCTTCGTTATGGGATTAACGGTAACAACCATTGCAGAAAAAAATTTATGTAATTTGCTTATGTGGGTTAGGTATTTTTTCAGCAATGGTTGCAACAGTTAATTCCTGCATTAACAATTCTACGAATCTATTGTTTCCATACATAAGAAATTTTCTAAAATCACCATTTTCACTTGAGAAAATCTTTGTATTGTAGGCTTGTTTTAGATGTGATGCGATGTGCGATGGTTGTCACCAGGGCAGTAACTTGCACTGTATTAAGTGCAAATATGTCAAACAAGATGGTGCCTGTCGTAAATCATGTATAAATATGTTCTATGCAAATGAAGACAAGGAGTGTGAGCAATGTCATGAAGAATGTCGGGGAGGCTGCTATGGTCCCTCACAAATTGAGTGCCAAGCCTGCAACAACTTTAAGGTTTACTTGGATAATGAGTCCTGGAATGGAAAGAAAGAGAACTGCACTGACGCGGACTATATTTGTCGTCAGTTTAATTGTACAAAGACATGTCCCCTAGACATGCCATATAGGGAAAAGGATGATATGGCTGAAGAGGAGACAACCACTTTGTGTGTTGATCATACACATCCATTAGTTATGAAAAAACAAGAAGATGAGAAAGCCAAGTAAGTTAACAAGAATTGATATGACTAGAAATAGAGTTTGAATTGTACCATGATTTGATTTTGCCCCTTCCCCAGGGTATCAATCCCATTGGAACAGCTTCAGTGTCTTTTCTATAGATAAGCCAGATACACATACCACAAAACATTTACTTGTTTAATTATAGGAAAAGTAAGGAACTTGCAGAAAGAATTAAAATCATTGTGGCCTCTACAGTTGGTGGGATTGTTGTTCTGGCAGGAGCTCTTGTTCTCTTTGGATATTGTTGGTGCCAGAGAGCCAAATCACAGGAGAAGACTGCCATACTCACTGCCAAGATGACTGGATATGATGATGAGGTTATTATTAACAAAAGTTCAGATAAGGAAACAATTTGAATATATACCTTGCAAGATAAAGCAGGATGTAAAATTTTTTATATTTTCTTGCCACTGTATTTGGAAATGAATTTGGTGTGTCCTTTTAACAGCAACCTCTTACCCCAACCAATGCCAAACCAGATATGTCCAATATCAGGCTTATAAAACAATCTGAGTTACGCAGAGGTGGAATAATAGGATCGGGGGCTTTTGGTACCGTGTATAAGGTAGGTTTATATGATCTATTCTGAACAATATTTAAAAGAAATATATATATATTCATATAGACGATTTGAAATTTATTTAATATGGATTAGCAAATGTGAATATGATGAACTTTTTCAAATTTTAATACAGTATTTGTTTTCCCCACAAAACTCCTCATAGAAAAATTGTTTCATGTATCATTGAAGTGAAAACCTGATGTCACAGTGATAATTTGAAAGAAACAAATTTTTGAGAATTAAAATAGATTGAAAGAAAATTGATTGAAAAATTCAAATAAGTGATCAAAGAATGTAACATGAGCAATAAGGATGCAAATCTTAAAGACTTGTACATATTTTAAATAATGTGTTAAGTCAAGTTCTTCAACTTGATGCACACTGTGATTTATGACACAGGGCACTCCAGAAATTGGTCATTATTATTGAATATCTTTGAAAAATCTTTTAAGATTTTAAAGAGAAAATGTATAACCTGTCTAGGGCTTTTGGATTCCCCAAGATGAGAACGTAAAGATTCCTGTAGCCATTAAAGTTCTGTCAGACAGCACATCACCAAGCCAGAATAAGGAACTGTTGGAGGAGGCTCGAGTGATGGCATCCGTGGAACATCCATGTTGTATCCGGATTCTGGCCGTGTGTATGACTGCACAGATGATGCTCATTACACAGTTAATGCCATTAGGCTGTCTCCTAGACTATGTCAGAAAACATAAAGATAATATTGGCTCTAAGGTCCTTCTCAACTGGTGTACACAAATTGCAAAGGTACAGTTGGATAATTTCAATTTTTAAATGTTAAAACTTTCTGTTGAGTGTAATTTTTAGCTCTTCTGAGCCAAAGGCTCAAAGAGCTAATGCTATGGCCATTTGTGCGGTGTGCATAAACTTTTTAGAATATGGGCCTTAACTCAAGAACCCTTAGGCCAATTATTGTCAAATTTGTCACAGGGTATCCTTGGCCGAAGGGCTCCCATTTATACTAAAACTAGGGTTGTGACCCTTAAACAAGGGGAGATAATTAGGTAAATAAAACCAAAAGTACTGGTTGCTAAAAAATCTTCTTCTCAAGAACCACTGGGCAGATTATTACCAAACTCACACAAAAGGATGAAGATATGTTGAAGATTATAAATTGTTCAAGGCATCACCTTTAGGCAAAGGGCGTGGTTAGGAATCAAGTTCAAAGCATTTTAGAGGTATATTTTGGACATTTTAAGGCCTATGATCATAAAACTTTGTAAGTTGCTGCATCTTGGGTCCTCAAAAAACGTCAACTGAAAACTAGGTCATTGTGACCTACTTTTGAAATTTTATGGCTATATTTAAATATTTTGGGTACCATTTGGCTTAGAATCTTCAAACTTTGTCAGTTGATGTATCTTGGGTCCTCAAAGTAGGTTGACTTAAAAGTAGGTCACTACGACCTACTTTTCAATTTATATGGCTATAATTAAATATTTCAGGTACTGTTTGGATTAGAATCATCAAACTTTGTCAGTTGATGCATCTTTGGTCCTAGGATTAAGTCAACTGAAAATAGGTCACTGTGACCTACATTTGAAAATTATGGCTAATTTGTCAGTTGATGCATCTTGGGTCCTCGGAGTACAAGAACTAAAAAGTAGAACACCATGACCTACTTTTGAAATTTTATGGCTATATTTAAATATTTTTGGGTACTATTTGGCTTAGAATCATCAAACTTTGTCCGTTGATGCATCTTGGGTCCTTGGAGTAAGTTGACTGAAAAGTAGGTGGAGTAAGTCGACTTACATGTAGGTCACTCTGACCTACTTTTGAAATTTTATGGCTTTATTTAAATATATCAGCTAGTAATTGGCTTAGAATCATCAAACGTTGTCAGTTGATGCATCTTTGGTTCTCAGAGTATGTCGACTTACATGTAGGTCACTCTGACCTACTTTTGGAATTTTATGCCTATATTTAAATATTTTCAGGTAGTAATTTGCTTAGAGTCATCAAACTTTGTTGGTTGATGCATCTTGGGTGCTTGGAGTACATCCACTGAAAAGTAGGTCACTGTGACCTGTTCAAATATTTTCCAGGTACTATTTGACATAGAATCATCAAATTTTGTCAGTTGATGCATCTTGGGTCCTCGAAGTATGTCAACTGAAAAGTAGGTCACTGTGACCTACTTTTGAAATTTATGGTTAAAATTAAATATTTCGAGTACTAATTGGCTTAGAATCATCAAATTTTGTCAAGTGTTGCATCTTGGGTCCTCGGAGTATGTCAATTGAAAAGTAGCGCTAGGTCAACATGACCTACTTTTGAAATTTTATGGCTTTATATAAATATTTCAGGTACTATTTGGCTTAGAATTATCAAACTTAGTTAGTTGATGCATTTTGGGTCCTCAGAGAATGACAAGTAATAAGTAGGTCACTATGACCTACTCTCAGGTACTTATTGGCTTAGAATCATTTTGGGTTCTCAAAGTGTTTTATCTAAAATGTAGGTCATGATGACCTACTTTTGGAATTTCAAGGCTTTATTTAAATTATACAGGATACTTAGAGGCTTCAAATAGAAGTGATACTGGTTGTACAATTTATCAGAAGAGCGATTCAAGGCCCTTGGGCCTCTTGTTGTGGTTAATACAGTTATATTTACATCCAATGAATATTGTATCATTTATTTCTTATGAAAGCCATGGTTCATCAATAAACGACACTAAGCAAGTCACCTGTATAGATTTCATCAGTGAAACATATAATGACGCACAAATTAATAATACAATATTTAACGTACTTAATTTTACTTTATATGGTCATTTATACAGATATAAATATAAACAATAAAATGTCTTTCTTTGTTTGATAGTATGGAATAAACATTGCAGCTATTGCAGAAAAAATTTTACATAACCTGCTCAAGCGGGTTATATTGTTTCTGCAACAGCTTCAACATTAATTCCTGTACTAACAACCAAAGAAAGCATTTTATTGTTTAAATATCTACATTTAGTTTGCTTTTTTAGCTCACCTCGACGAAGTCGAGATGAGCTTATGCTATACCGGCGGCGTTAGCGTCGGCGTCCTGGTTAAAGTTTTGGGAGCAAGTCCCATTCCCAAGTAACTATAAGCCCTACCTGGACCAAACTTGCATGTATGATGCATCTAGGGATGGACACTATCACACTTGCTTCGGATGCTGGATCTGACCTAGATTTTCCAGATGAATGACCAGGTTAAAGTTTTTGGAGCAGGTCCATTCCCAAGTAACTATAAGCCCTACCTGGACCAAACTTGCATGTACAATGCATCTAGGGATGGACACTATCACACTTGCTTCGGATGCTGGATCTGACCTAGATTTTCCAGATGAATGACCAGGTTAAAGTTTTTGGAGCAAGTCCATTCCCAAGTAACTATAAGTCCTACCTGGACCAAACTTGCATGTATGATGCATCTAGGGATGGACACTACCACACTTGCTTCAGATGCTGGATCTGACTTAGATTTTCCAGATGAATGACCAGGTTAAAGTTTTTGGAGCAAGTCCATTCCCAAGTAACTATAAGCCCTACCTGGACCAAACTTGCATGTATGATGCATCTACCACACTTGCTTTGGATGCTGGATCTGACCTAGATTTTCCACATGAGTGAATTTTAGCCATTTTTTAACCAAATTAGCATGGATGATGTTTCTAGGGATGGACACTTCCTGACTTGCTTTGGATTTTGAATCTGACCTACATTTTCCAGATGAGTGACTAGAGTAATTTTTTTGGAGAAGCTTTATAATATTGTGGCCTGTTATGATTAAACTTGCATCTAAGGATGAAAACTTCAAGACTTGCTTTGGATGTTGGAACTGACCACAATTTTCTTGATTACTAAACAGGTAAAAGTTTATTGAGCAGGTCTATTTCCAAGTAACTATAAGTCCTACCTAAACCAAACTTGCATGTATATTGATATTGGGATGTACCCTATTTAGGAAAAAAAAAATATTATGTGAAATTTGCCTTACTTATAGATAACATTCGTCGAGGTGAGCTTCGTAATCTTTGATTACCTATGTTTTTGGTTTATCCTTTTTCAAATTACTTGCATTTGAATGTTTTAGTAGTGCTAGGCATCACAGTGATAGACACATTAAATGATTTTATGCTCCCCTTCGAAGAAGGGAGGGCATATTGCTTTGCTGCTGTCTGTCGGTCCACCAATTTTCCGTTCATTTTCTTTGCAGAGGTTGCACATACTGAAATGAAATTTGGTATACAGATTTTATCATAAGAGTATCTAGATCAAATTGTGTTTTGGGTACGATTGAGCAATTTTTAACAGAGTTATGCCCCTTGGACATAGGAAAATTCTAATTATATGCAGTTTCCGTTCATTTACTTTGCAGAGGTTGCACATACTGAAATGAAATTTGGTATATAGATTTATCATAAGAATATCTAGGACAACTTCTGTTTTGGGTACAATTGAGCAATTTTTGACAGTGTTATGCCCCTTGGACTTAGAAAAATTCCATTTAATTGCAGTTTCTGTTCATTTTCTTTGCAGAGGTTGCATATACTGAAATGAAATTTGGTATGTAGATTTATCGTTAGAATATCTAGGTCAAATTATGTTTTGGGTACAACTTCAGGGTATGTCTTATCTGGAGGAGAGGGGTATCGTCCACAGAGATCTGGCCGCTAGGAATGTGTTAGTTCAGAGTCCAGGCCAGATCAAGATTACTGACTTTGGACTGGCCAAGCTACTGGACATCAATGAAGATGAGTATCACGCAGCTGGAGGAAAGGTTAGTACACCTCAGGTCAAGGCTCAATTTTTTGTGTAAAGAAAGAATAAAGTAATTATCTAGAAAATTCATGATCCTATAAATTTGTAATAAACAACTTTCTGTCATTGTTTCTAAAAAAGTGTTATTAGCTAGGTGAATTTAGCATTGGCTAATCTGTATATTGGCTAAACATTCTATGTGAATATTAAAATGTGACCTCTGAAATAACAGATGCCCATCAAATGGTTAGCCTTGGAGTGTATCCAGCAGAGGATATTTACACATAAGAGTGATGTGTGGAGTTTTGGAGTCACTGTCTGGGAACTTTTTACATACGGACAGAGGCCCTATGAAAATGTGAGGGCTAGGGATGTCCCAGATTTACTGGAGAAAGGGGAGAGACTACCACAACCCTCAATATGTACCATAGATGTTTATATGATCATGATTAAATGTAAGTCTGTAATTCTTGATGCCCAATTTAATAATTTAACATAAATTATGACAATGTTAATGGAGAAAAATTTTGGTATCCTCATAGTATTGTTATACATGTATATATGGAAACATAGATACATTTTGTTTAAAGATAATGTTAGACAAAATTATCCTGTATGACAATAAGCAGCAGATAATGATAGCTGAATTCTGCAGTAATATGAAATGTGTTGTAGGTTGGATGTTAGATGCAGATAGCCGTCCTTCATTCTTTGAGTTGACTGAAGAGTTTGCAAAAATGGCAAGAGACCCTGGTCGTTACTTAGTTATTTCAGTAAGTATAATTATCATGATAGCCTTGTTTTTATTCCCATTTTGCAGGAGATTATCTTGAATACATTTGTATAACCAGAGCTTTCATTGCTTTATTGGGGTGCTGTGTTGTATGTGAAGACAATGGGCGCATTGGAGGGTCTGTGTATATGAGAAGGTGGTAGTAGTAGTGTACTATTAAAATTATATTTACAGCAGGTTACACCGGCCAATTGATAGATATCATAAAATATTCAATGATTTGTAAAAACATTTTAATTTAGAAAAAAGGGGGTACGTGAGAAAATTAACTAGTTCCTATGAATATCTTTTCCCGTTTGTTATATAATTCAATGTGGATTTCTAGAATTGGAGGTAATTTTAAGGCATGCACTAAAATGAATAAAAAGGTAAATTGATTGTTATGAAGTATTCTTTGTTGCAAAAATGGCAAGACAGAAAATGAGAGAACACAGATTCAATCACAGGGTTGTAAGACACAACAGTGTGCAGTATTAATTGCACAGCACACTTGTAGCACAAATATTTTTTTCCTTGTGTTGAGGCACTTGATAAACATGTTTGTCACCATGTCAGGGAGATGTTTTGAAGAAAATCCCAGAGGACTCAAATACACCCTCACAGATCGAGCTAATCACGCCCGATACGTCCAACAATCCGAAAGAGGAGGTATACAATGAAAGCCGCGGCTCGTTAACGCATGGGTGTGCTCATATATATCTTGTAGAGTTTCCTCATATATGTGCATTTAATTTATTAATCTGCATATCTATGTCCGTTTTTGTCATGTTCAATAACATTAACAGTTGAATCCATTCGCCATTTCCCACATATATGTATACCATTTGTCAAATTTTTCATGTAGGCCTTTTATCTAGGTCAATCTATATTAAACTTTTTTATGTAATATATATATTTAATAGGTCCTTTCTGGGTTTCAGATGCTTTAATTGTATACAACATTTCTTTCAAAAGAAATTTTTTGGGAAGTTTATTCCTCACTCAAAATAGTGTTTTGCCGTGTGAATTACTTATTGGGATAAAAGTCTCTGCCCTTTGATATATCATTCTATCTTGAATATTCTTCCAGGATGTAATGCACTTTTTAGTCCTGTTGTTCCCTTCACAAGTTTAACAGCTAGCTAGAATAACCTTACAAGTTTCTGGTGGAGTAGATATATTTATAATTTATTAACCACCACTGGGTCTCATTCAACTCTTACAAAAGACTAATTTTAATTTGGGTTTGGTACGTCTGTCTTAACAATATGTCACAGTGTCAGAGATTCTTATTGTTAGCTATACACTGACAATTGTTGAGGTAAGGTTTTGGAAAATCTGCTAAGAAGCTAAATGTGATATTAACAATTAAGTAATATGGGTGATGCTGTTTGGGTCTAAGCATTAATTTTCTAACACAAGATGTATTAAAATTATGGTGTCAAGAACTGAAGTAAGGACCAAAACACATTTTCAAACAGCTCTTCTTTAAAAAAAAAAAACAAACCTCCATTTATCTTCTAACTTAGTGAATTTTTCTTCATGGATTCAGCTGTCAAAATTATACTGTAGTGTACAGCAGCATGTTCCACAGCAAGCAGCAGGAAAAAAAAACACTATAGAATATGTTAAGCATGTTTTTAAAAGGCAGGAATGACTTATTTTGTTGTTGGAAGCATTCTGATATTTCCTTTGTATTTTCTCTGCTTTCTATTGGCTCCCTCACAGTTTAAGGTAAGTCAGTGTCAGTCTTTGAATTATGTGCCTGTAGATATTTTTGCACTGATGAAATAGGAGTTCCATGTTTCAATCAACAATGATAAAATCAAGACAACTTTCTTCACAAGTTTCATTCAATTTTAACATCACTTAACTGAAGAAAAAGGGAAATTAATTGTTCTTTGCTGGCAACAGAGAAAACTAGTTTGGAAAAACAAGTGTCTTGTGGTAATTGCTTATGATTTGGAAGTTAAAGCTCATGTTTTTATTTTTCTTTCCTGCTCCAAAAATTTGTAAAATTGCCATTATCAATATTCTTCATCTGCAGACATTTTTTTTTTTACCATAAGAACTTTTTTTATCTGGGTAAAGAAATTTTAATGAAAGACAGGAATTTGATATATGAAGTGAAATGAGGCCTGATTTATGGCAGAAAAGTGTTGACATTTTGATATATTGTTGAAATTTAGGTATTTATCCACACATGAAATTAGATAATATTTATAGAAGACGGTGTGTCTACTGTTCCAGTTTTGTTATCTATGGAACGTAAATATTTTCCCTAATCTTTTTATTACCACCGTAAATTACTTGAACTTAAATTTTGAACTTTGTTTGAAGGTAATTGTAAACTAAATTAATGTTACGTATAATTAGCTTTCTTCTTTGCATATTATATTGATAAGTCATAGATTCATAGTAGATTTTGTTGTTGCATGAAATAACTTTTTAAAAACAATTATTTGAACATGATATCATAGGGCAGATAGCAGTTACTGAGTATATTTTTTAGTTACATTGCATGTTAGCATTTAAGAGAATGAAAGTAAAACATTGTTATGTAGACAGCTTTAAGATTTGAGTGTAGAAATCTTGAAGATCAGACTGCATGTGTTTTTTAATTGTTTTTAGTTTCCATGGTCTCTGTCATTTCTCTTTTGTTTGTTTGTTTGTTTTTTTTGTTTTGTTTTGTTTTGTTTTTATTTTTCCTTTAATATTTAAGTAAAATGTGGATCAATATGATCAGGATTTTGTGATTTTATTTTACTTTCCCAGAAAATATTTTTTATATACACATACATCTGAATTTTGATGTCAATTTTCAGGGTGATAAGTTAATGCGGCTCCCAAGTCATTCCTATGACAAGAATGACTTGGCTCGCAGTCTCAGTGTGGCGGTGGATGGACCAGAGGAAGTGATAGAAGCAGACGACTATCTACAGCCCACACCCAGGGCATCTGTTGAGATTCCCACCACACCTGTCTCATCAAAGGTTGGATTCATCTCACTTTTTTTCAATTTTTTTTTTTTTCAAATTTCCTGATCATTCATAAGCAATTTTTTTGTATACCAATAATAATATGCCAAAACTCCCGAGCATTTGGCCTTTGTCCATTAAAAAAAATGTATCATATTTGACTATCAGTTACAGAGTGCATGATCAATCAAAAGTAATGATGTTAATAACTATTGTTAATGAAAAATGTGAGCAATAGTCTGAGGTACACTCTATACTATTTGACATGTAGACTCCATTACTGCCATATGATGCATCTTCACCACCACCACAAAGTCTTGCACTTAAAGAAATCCGTGCACCTGCTCGCAGAGAAAAGCGTTATGGTCACCTGGAATCAGCAGCTAAAGCTCGAGACCAGCGAGCACAAGATCCATCCAGGAATCGGGGTGATAGTGTCAATTCACGCTATAGCTCTGATCCAGTCAAAGTTCTTCACACTGGTAATTTATCATGAAGGAAGAAAAAAGTCATTGTGAACTGGGTTTTTTTTTTTAGGGTCTATTTTGCAGGAGAAAGTCTAATATAAATAGATTTTCTTTAAATCATTTAAAATATACTGGTACAATGTATACATTTTATGGAATATATTTTGAAGAACCTTAAGGTCTTATGTAAATTCATTTTAAGATGGTCAATTCATACATACTCTTTATGTTTTATTTCAAACCATATTGATGAATTTTGTTTTCCCCTTGCAGATGAAATAGATACTGGACTTAAAAGACCACTTCGTAATGGTTCTGTAGGCAGACAAGGTATCCCCAATCACTTTGTGAAACACACTCCAGACTTCAAGATGCAGTTACCACTGGATGAAGATGACTATCTTCAGCCAAAGTCTTCCAAACCTAGGGCATATGCAGATCTGATAGATGGACAGGGTATGAAGATAATGATAATGCCAAAGAGAAATTCTCTCAATATGCATTAGTAAATGATGTGACTCACTATGAGATTTTATGAAAAGAAATTGATTTGACAGATATAGAACTGGTTCAGAAATGGGTTGTAGGATAATTAATGCTTGCAAGGATTTTGAGATTATAAATTTGATGGTTTGAAATATGAATTTTATGAAGAAAAACAAGCTTTAATGCAGAATTGACCTAATTTTTTCTGAGTTACAGAGTATATCTTTTTGGTTTTGGTTTTTAAAGAGGGGATGGGGGGATTGACCATAACACAGAATGAGCTAAATTATTACATCAGAAAGATAATGCACATAGTTAAACAATTTTATTCAATATTCATTTTAAGAGCTAATATGAATTGTTTTCCATTTTTTTTCAGATTACCTAAATGACAGTTCAGGGTCAGTTTTTCTGGATGATCATTTGGATCATAATGGTCATGGCCAGCCAGGTCTCAACTTTCAAAACCCAGAATATTTTGATGAACCTAATTTAAATGTGCCAAAAAAGCAATTAGCAAGTAAAAGTTATTATAATGACATTTCTGCTGTGAATGGTGAAAGTGCAGAACATGAACCTCTGGTGCTCAGTGAAGATTGGAAATCAGAAACAACTGTTTAGTGCTTCATTTGCAACAGTATGGTTGCCATAGATGAGAGTCCAGCTTTAAACTGCCATATATTTATAATAACCAGTGTAATGGTTGTGTTCTGTGATGGGGAAATATCCCAAGTCTTCTACAAACTGACCCACCATAATGAGCAATAATGTGCATTTATGCATGTAATTATTTTATTGTGATTAAGGGATTAAGACTTTGCTGGGGAGACAGAGACACATGGAAAGTGTTTCGTACACCAATCAAACGCTCAAATTCTGCCGCCCAGCAGATAATTGAATGCTGCTTCATAGACATTGACTGCATAATATACAGCAGAATGTAGAAAAGAATGAGGATGGACAACCAAAGAAATCCATTAAAGTGTCAGTATACAAAACATTGACAGGAAGATTCGATGGTTTGGACAGCCATCAGTTGTTATCTATGCAGAACTGAGAAGAAGGCAGGACATGTTACTATTGTTTTTGTTGGACATTCTGTTGTTTTGTTATATACAGCTTCCGTCTAGCTTTAATATCAATTATTGCACAGGATCTTCATATATATATATTTATATTGCTGTTATTATTTGTGACTGTTAATGTATACCATGTTTGTCATTTATTGAAAATTTAGGTTGTTCTTCCTCAACATTTGTAGCACAAGTTGTTTTTCAAAGCTTTAGCTATAAAGAATATTGCTGATCTACCTGAACAGCTCTAAGCAGCACTAAAAAATCTTGTTATCAACAGAAATAAAATTTTTGAAATTTTTTATATAGAATTAAATTCACTTTTTTAATTCACTTGAAAAGTGAATGTGGGATAAATTTTACCTTGCACAATATGATGCTTTTAGAATTTTAGCATGGTTCATAAAACTATAGATATTTAACTATTGATGGCAAGTGATCTTTGTCAATTTGTAAAATTTGTACAACTGATCAGGATTTCCAATGCATATCCTAATTTGTATCAGTAAATATGATGCATGTATTGATAGATCCTCTACCTACCATCTTTATACATAGAAGTGACCAAGACTTACAAACTACTTAAGGGATGCTGTATTTTAAAACCAAAGCCCGTCGTTATCTTACCAATACCTAGGATCTTTACCATTTCTGCAGTGTTTTGCAGACATACCAAATACTCAGTACATACATGTAATTACTTCATACCAGTAGATAGATATAATCAGAATGCTTCCTGTCAAATCATTTAGTCAATAGAAAATATTTTTTGTTCACACCTCATGAGGAGTTATCTTCCTATTGTATCCACAGCGCCAAGCTCTCTCATAATTGGTTGTGACAGGTATGAGCTATTGTGCATGCTTCGTGCCCGTGGTTTTATCTAGTCACTTTCATTTTTACAAAGCACCCACACATTTTCTCTTAGTGTTCATATAACTGTACTTTCTGAAATTCTTGACGGGTTTATTACAATGTAATAATTTTTTTTTGCAATATGTAAAGTTTTCAGTCATAAGGTGGGTTGAAAACAATGAATGAATTTTCATAATATTGTAAATGCATATATACTTGTACCAAAATTTAATTTTTTTCCTCTCTTAACAATGAATATTCTAATTAATAATTTAAAAAAAAAACACAGAATATTTTCAGGGTTAAATTACTTTACATGTGAATATTGTAATAAAAGTTATTTTGTACTTGTAAAGACTGTACTTATCAGGTAACATTTGTGTACATATTATTTTATTTTGATTAACTTTGCACTGAACAGAGAATAATGAGTGCAAAAAGTTTTATTTTAATTATCTTGCAGACTATTGAGATTTTTTTTTTCAAAGATGAAATCAGAGTTGATTTTCCATGTATTTTCTTTTGAGGTAGATTTCTCTGTTAATTGTTTTGAATTGATACCATTTGATGGAAATCATTCAAAACATCTGAGGTACACATCCTTTTAAGGTATTTTGAGATGCTTAAATCTTCCTTTCTTCAGTAAATTTCTGCATTTTCTTTTTTCGAGGATCTCAAAGGGTAATGTTTTTTACTGGAGAGGGATAATCAATAATCCCACTCTCCTAGGGTTAAAGAATAATTATAATGATTTTTTTTAAATGTGTGCCTTAAATAATACATGGAATAAAACAATTCACCATACTGCTTTGAAATTTTGGAAACTTTTTATTTTCTCTATTGTTTTATTTACGAACAAGCAGGCTGCTCTCAATTTTATAGTTTCATAGTTTATCACTATTTGTTCATTACATTATCATTTACATTGTTTTGTGTAAAACTTGTTATACACCAAATCAGTGAAATTCATATCATTTTTATGACTTTTTTTGTGTTTTCTTTTATTAAATCTCATGTATGTACTTAAATGCTGGTTTTTATTTTAATTGTATTCTTTTATTTTCATGTGATAGAATTTTTAATATAATGTAAATGTAATGTTTAATACAATTTCTTGGGTTTTTTTTTTCCTTATTAATAGAAAAAGATCAAATTAAGAATTGTTTTTATGAAATACCGGGGTATTATCAAATTCACGTATTAAAATATGCTTGTAATGCAAGATATGAAAGCCAGTAATGATAAAATAGACAGGACATTTAAACAAATATTACTTCACTGAACATCTCTGAGACTATACTCTTCTCATTGTACGAGATTTATTTTCAGATTTTGAGTTGATCTACATTGCTGCAATAAGTTTACAGAATTCATTTAATTTGCATATCATATACGTTTAAAAGTATTATCTTGTCATAAGGCCACCAATAATTGCTATGCTGATTATGTTTTTTGATGATGATAATTTTATTTTATGTTCATCAAACATGTTTTAGTAATCTAAGCAGGAAAAACTGCATGTATTTTTTTTTGTATCATTGCATTAGTTACTTAAATTGCTTCATGTAATTTCATGCAGGATCATTGTGAATCTTGAGAGAAATGCATGTATAATTAAAAGGAAATACAAATTTACAGTCTTGTTTTTTTTTATTAATGGAGATCAATAATTGTCCCCTATTAGGGCCTCTATGTGTACATGTACTAAGCAATGCTTTGAGTCCCGTTATAAAATACCAGTACATCTATTACTGTCACCGAAACAGAATTCTAATACACTAGTGGAACATTCTAGTAACTATATTCTATTCAGTACTCTACTTTCAAACTATCCGTAAATTTTACTTCTCAAATAATTATACAATGTTCAGTGTTTTCAGATACAATCAAACAAGTAAAATATCTCTTAAGAAATTATACTTGCAGTCTTTTGTATACAGTGGGTTCAGTTGAAAATATGCTGTTGGGAACACTTCTTGCAGCCATGTGTAGTTTAGATTGAAAAATATATTGGACAATTTATCTGCTCCAAACCTCTACACACCCCAATGGATCAAAACCATTGTCGTGTCTGAAAGTCTGCAGATTTGTGATTTACACTAATTGTGAGTTTACTGTAGAAGTGTGCAGCATCAAAGGCATTATTAAAGAAGGAATGTACCCGTGCAAGTTTGACCAAATTAAGATTTAATTAATTGACCTGGCTGGGGATCATGAAGCAGACTTTGACTTGTGTCAAAATTAAAATCATCTGTAAAACTTTTTATTAATTGTCAACTGCAATGCTAAATTTTTAGGTAAAAGTACTTTGGTGAGGTAATGCTGAATAAGCCTTTTTTTTTACTGTTACATGTAAACTTTAACATCAAATACAATTTGACTTAAGCTTTAGATGTTTCATGATCTTGGAACCTGCTCTATTTATAAACAATTTACATTAGTTAATGTTAAAAAAAAACACAGATGAGAGACAGTAATAGAAAGCTTGTAGAATTCAGGCACGTAGTATCGTTTTTGAAAGGGGGCAGCCAGAAAACAAAATTGACAACTCACCTGAAAAACTTTGACAAACAAAAAGTTAAAAAAAAAAAAAAAAAAAAAAAAAAGATTGTCAGAACTCAAAAATCCTTTTTCGTGGGGGGGGGGGGGGGGGGGGGGGGGGGTCCAACTTTCACAACCAAATTTTTCTTAATACATCAACAAATTACCTTGATTTAACTATGCTACAACAAAAAGTGGAGGGGCAGCCGTTCAATGGGCATTGGGCATTTTCAATAGTAAAAGGGTATGTTTGGAAAAAAGGGGCAGTCCCCCCCCCTCCCCTCAAAAAACACTACGTGCCTGGAATTCATTAATTTTGTAAAGCTGATCGGTGTAGTAAGGTTTAGGGTAGAACTGACCTGCTCTGTAAAGCCTATGGCAATATTGCTATAATGCAGCATGTAATAAAAACGCTGAATGTACACTGCAATATTGATATTTTTCATTATTATAATTGTGTCAATTCGACGAGAAGTATAACAATCCTGGGGGCCAAATGTTAAGATGAGTAGGTAGCCTTATGTTTCCCAGCATCCGTCATTTCTGTGTGAAAAAGTATGGCGGATATATATAATTACATTTTGCGTTTTGATCTTCTTCAACACAAAATGTGACAACGCAGTAATAATTTGTATCACATACCAATCACTAGAACAACTGCATATTATGATAGCTTTTTACCATCTACAATTAAGTTATGGAATGATTTACCAGATAGCTTGAAATCTGCAATAAGTGTAGCTAAATTCAAAATAAAAATCTTGATGATAAAATAAAATCCAAATTATACAGTATGGACAAAGAAAATATACTCCACTGTCAGTTGAGAAACTTGTCAACTAATCTTAATGCAGATTTGTTTAATCATAAGTTAGTTGGTTCACCTAAATGCTTAAAATGTGGTATATTTTATTGAAGATTCTGTTCGTTTTTTTCTTTCAATCCCCATATTATGATCTTGCCAGGAACTCTTTGATTACATATATGATTGACCATGACATACCAAGAGATGTCAATATTGTATTGTCTGGTTATGAATGTCTATCTCTTAGTAAATCTTAAAGAAAATATGTTATTCTTTGACCAAGTTCATAATTTTGTTTTAAAAAAAAAACAAAAACAAAAAACACTAAAAGATTTTTGAATGTGAAAATGTAATAAGTATTAATGTGCAGCATGTAGACATACAGATATGGTTTTGAGCCTTTTTCCCAATTCCCTCCCCCACCCACCCCCTTTTTTCCTTTTATTTTTCCATTTTATTGTTCATTCCACCTCTTTCAAGGTCACCTGAGTCACTCAGGTGACCTATTGCTATTCGTTTTTGTCTGTCCTCGTGCGTCGTCCGTAAACATTTGAACATTTTCAGCTTCTCTAGAACCAATTTCAACCAAGTTTGGCATATAGCATCTATGGGTGAAGGGGAACAACAATTATGAATTTCAGGGTCTCTGCCCCTCTCCCTCCCCCCCCCCCCCCCGGCCTGAGAGGTGGGGCTAAAACCACCAAAATTAATGCAATCTTTAAAAATCTTCTTTACCCCTGGACATCAAGCAGTCAAACTGTTGACACGATTGTAATAAGCATTGAGCCCTCTACCAAAATTGTGAAATTCATGGCCCCAGGGTCAGGGGTTCTGGTGCTAGGGTGGGGCTATATAGATCATATAGTGAAAGTGCATTATTTCTTTGAAAATCTTCTCTGCTCCTGGGTATTAAATAAAGTAACTAAGTATACATAGTTATGTTGAACAAGGCTGCCTCTTCCAAAAATGTGAATTTCTTGGCCCCTGGGTTAGGGGTTCTGGTGATAGATTGGGGCTGTATTGATTTTATAGTGAAAATGCAGTAATTTTTTGAAATTCTTCTTCTCTGCTCCTGGGTATGAAACAAACTAAGTACATAGTTATGATGAATAAGAGTGCCTGTTCCAAAATTGTGAATTTCATGGCCCCAAGGTCAGGGGTTTTGGTGTTAGGCAAGGGCTGTATTGATTATATAGTGAAAATGCATTATTTCTTTAAAAATCTTCTCTGCCCTTGGGTATTAAATAAACTAACTAAGTGCGTAGTTATAATGAGCAAGAGTGCCTCTTCAGAAATTGTGAATTTCATGTCTCCTGGATCTGAGGTTCTGGTGTTAGGGCAGGGCTGTATTGATTATATAGTGAAAATGCATTAACTCTTTGAAAATCCTCTTTTCTAAGTTTGGGTATTATATAAACAAAGGAAGTGCATGGTTTATGATAAGCAAGAATGTCTCTTCCAAATTGTAAAATTCTTGTCTCCAGTGTCAGGGGTTCTGGTGAATGGGGGGAGGGGACTCTATTGATTATGTAGTGAAATGCATAATTTCTTTCAAAATATTTTTTTCTACTCCTGGTTATAAAGTAAAGAAACAATTCTATAGTTATGATGAGTAATGGTGCTTTTAGAATTTTTTTTAAAACTTGTGGTCCCATGGGTTCTGATTTTTCTCCGGGGGGGGGGGGGGGGGGGGCTCTATTGATAATATAGTGAAAGTGTGTAAATTCTTTGAAAATCTTCAACTACTTGCATAGTTATGATGATGAGGGTACCTCTTCCAAATTTGTAAATTTCATGACCCTGGGTCATGGGTTCTGGTTTTAGGGTAGGGCTGTGTTAAATCTGTACTGAAAATGCATTATTTCTTTGAAAATCTTCTCTGCTCCTGGACATATTGGAGGCAAACAGAGTAAAAGTTTTAATAATCAAAGGTATTTTTACCAGAATTTTGAACGTCTGGACCATTTAGTAAAGTGTTCCTTAACCTGGCCAGGGCTCTACTAATTTGTATTCTACTGAGCGAAGTTATTCCTCTTTGCCATTCACCTTTGATAATTAATCACTGTAAATAATGTATTTGAAAGGTTAAAAGAATAAGAGAATTATGCAAGAACATTTATTGTATAATACATAAAGTACTTTCATAGTTTAAATGATCAGGTAGACTTGGAAATAATAGATGAATAAAAATGAGACAAAAATAACTTATCTTTTTAAATGTTCTTCAAAGGCCAAGAGAGGCCAATGTGAAAGATTAATATAGGGGGTTGAAAAATAGATATTTTGTAAATAGTTTGCATGGTAATAGTGATAAGTGGGACAGATTAGATACTAGACCAATTATTTGTTGAATTGGGCAACAAAGCTTCAATCATGATTTTATGGATCCTCTAAATTGTTGTAATCAGGTGATCGTTAAAGCCCTTGGGCCTCTAGTTTCAATTTTGTACTCTGTATCCTCCTTAAAAATTAGTTTCAAATACATGTCTTTGTAAAAGTTGAGATATATACCTTTGTAACATTTCATGATTTGTACCTTGATCTTTAATGGAGAGAACTAATATAGCTAGGCCACTTTTGCCTGCTGTTCAATCCATGTTCATTGTATTATATACTTCTTTATATATCGTGAATAAAATACTTCTTAAACTTAAAATGTGACAACGCAAAATATAATAATCAACTTTTGCAGGACAAATATCATATATAGGTACTACTGTTTTTGCCATGAATTTTTTTTTGTCTCCCAAAACAGCAACTATCTCCTGAGGAAGGTAACAAGGACAATGTCTCTGTTGACATATTGCACTGAAGTAAAAATACATATGTATTGAAATTGCCATATGGCAAAATTCGGATAGCTTTAAATTATGATAATCTCGATATAGGCAAATACCATTGACATCAACGATTATTACATTTTGCGTTGATCTCGATACGTAATTTTATAACATAAAATGTAAAAATTGCCCACGAATGAGATTTTTGGAATTGTTATTTAACTTAATCAACCATAATTTAACCCCCAAAACGGATTGAAACTTTTGTGTATTTATATTTTGCATTGCATTCATATCATGAGGAAATAAAGGAAATATGAATGAATGAATGAATGACGACGACACAAAATTGTAATGTCACGCAAATGTGACATTATAATAACAGTTAATTAATTACATTGTAATAGCAGTTAATTAATTAATTACATTTTGCATAGTTATTACGTTTTGTGCTGTTACTGTACCTAATACCGGTACTCTGCATAGTACTTAGTATCAGCTATATGTATATGCACGTTTGAGTAGTCTACTCTAATTGTTAGCATTGTAAAGGTTTTTTTTTTACATTTTCAACAGTGAAATACAGTGATTTATTCATAGAATAAAAGTGATATTCTGTCACAGTGTGCTAGCTGCAGAATTGTAGCGTTATAGTTTTATATTTTAGTCAGACCATAGTCTATGTGTGTGCTAAGTTATATTGAAATCAGACCAAAACTGTAGGAGGAGTAGCATTTTGAAAATTTGTTTACAGACAGACTTACAGCCAGACGGACGGACGGCGGACACCTTACTATCGCATAAGCTCTTCTGGAGCTAACAAACATATTAAAGAAAGTAGGATTTCTATAACTTGTAAACCGAAGTATTCATTTCATTTCATCAGGGACCTATATACTAACGGGATAGGCAACTCTCGCAAGTATATAGGTCCCTGATTTCATATAATTAATTTTGCCTCGGTTAAGGGACCCAAATAAAACGTTTTTGATATAAAATTGATTTCTTGAAATAAAAAAAAACTCAGTCATTCATTCAATTTTATTTATTCATTCAATTTTATTTATTTATTATATTGATTGATTGCACGATATTATGGGTCTAAAGAAGAGGGAAACGAAATATTTTAGGGCTCATATTTCCTCTGTTCACTCATATTTTGCTTTTTCAAAAATGTTTCAAACCTTGGAGTGCAATGTTTTTCAAAGTGGGAGTTGTCTCTCTTATCATACTAAGCCCCATCAATACCGGAAGTGGTTATTATAAACATAACGATTGACAGATTGTGGGATATTATAACATCAGTTAGAGTTTCCATCAGGGATGGACAGAAATTCCATACGATACGAGGTGGTAAGTATTATGATCTATCAATACTTCTGAGACTCAGCACTAAAGTAAACATCATTATACCTTTATTTTGTATTTTAGGCTAGATAAACCTTCCAGCAAACCGCCATTTGCTGAGAGCACGAATTAGCTAATATTGTTAATGTTGATCAATTTGAGACTCAGATGATAAAGATGTAAAAAATATGAATTCTCCAAGATGGCAACAAGTTATGGCTGTAAAATGTTGCTGATTTAACAGATTATTCATTTTAAGCCCCCCCCCCCTCCCCTACACACAAACATATCAAAATACAATGTATATGATATGTTTTCTTCATTTTGATTATTCCTTTTTCAGCTTCGTGAAAATGAAGTGAATGCCCCAGCAGAGCCTGTTAATTTAGTGATGATAGTTCCACCTCCAGAGTACCCAGGCAATGCTTCTTGCAATGCGGGTAGGTTATTAACATGTTTACCTAGCATGAGAGGTTTAAGATTAATCTGCCTCTACAAGCGTACTGTCTATAATGATGCAGCCTTATGTACTTTTCATACCTAAAAAGTCCTAAGCAATTATATAGTTTAGTATTGACTATAATAACAAAAGACTTGAAGGCTGCACGTACTTAAGTCCGAAATATCTGAGTCAGACGTTTTCTAGGCGTTTTTCACGATTTTGATATTTGATTTGCCAGGAAAATGTGAGAACCAGCGCCATTATGAAAAGTGGAAATTTAGCCGCCCCCAACTGAACTTGATTTTCGTACCTAGCAAATTTCAAATTCACAACTTATCAGTAGTGTAATGCTTCTAGTTCTCACCAATATTGCTTAAGGGAGCCGACTGGAGTTTTATTGTGTGAAAACTACTATAGAGAAACTCTTTAATTTTATACCATATGTACCTTACATTGACTTCAGTATACATGACAAGTTTAGTGAAAATCTACCGTCCGGTTATTTTTTAGGGACCATCTCAAAATACAGGTACATTTACTATAGGATTATACAGGAAAATACTATTTTTTCGCACTTTGGAGCAAATTATACAAATGCTACTATAGACATTTTGCTCAAATTATATTATTTGATGAGTACTACTATATTGTACATTTTATGCAAGAAACACAAAATTCTACCGTCTGGTTTCCAGAGGGGGCATCTCAAAATGTCAAAATTCATGATATTTTCCTGTTTTTATGGAGTACTACAAAACATGTCAGATACCACAGATATATGTAAGAACTTATAAAAATGATTGTGAGTTTCTCAGTTTTCTATGTTAAAAATTTTAAGAGCATCTATTTCATACTTTTTATTTTATGACATGATTAATGACCCCACTTAAAGAACTTACGTTATTCATAACGTCAAAAACACTCTGTTACGACGTTTATCTACCCATCATTTGAAAAATTGTTTAAAAATTCAGTAATTTAAAAACGTAATTAGATTTTTTAACTTGAGATTTCTTAATTTTGTTAATTTTAATAAATTATATAAAAAATAGTTGCTTTAAAATAGTAAATACGCTTTATTTTACTATGATGCGCGAAGTATTGCGCAATGAAAACCCCAGTCGGCCCCCTTAAAAGAAAATATCACTCCACATTTCGATATTTTGAATGGAGAAAAATTGGATGCTTATTCTTTCAATAAAGATTTTTTATGAATTGAGGCTATGTTAGGACCTTGACACAAAGTCATATTGGCAAGTTCAAGTCACTGGCAGAAATTTTTTATAATATGAATCTGTTCATCATTAGAATTGATCAGTCTCTATAGGCATTTGTGTCAAACACTTCTTTTTAGATTATATGATCAGGATTTGACCACCTCCTAAATTACGGTAGCAATTATATTGATATTGCAGAAAGCTCCACCCAAAAGCTCCCATCTTATACAGAGGCCACAACTCTGCCGACATATGAGGAGGCAGAACGCTCAAAGTTCCAGGAATCCATGAGAGCTGCTGACAGGAGTCAGAACAGTCATGAAGTATGCATGAGAAACATAATTCAGAACAATTGTGATGTTATGAATAGATACCATATTTATACCCCCACTTTATATTAATTAATTCTTGAAGTATGTATGAGAAATATAATTCAGAACAATTGTGATGTCATAAATAGATACCATATTGATTCATTTGCTTTATATTAATTCTTATAGTATGTATGAGAAATATAATTCAGAAGAACTGTGATGTCATAAATAGATACCATATTGATTCATATGCTTTATATTAATTCTAACTGCAAGAAAGATGTAAGGATTGTTTAAAGTACAGAAATAATTACTTTCATTTAAAAATCATAGACAAACATTTATGCAGGGATATAAAACTTTGTACATTTTAGGAAATCACTCCTCATGAGGGTCGATTCTTCAAAGCCACCACACTTGGCACAGACGGCATGTTTCTGTGTGCCTTTGTTAGTAAGTACAGATGCATAGTCTAAGATAAAAATGTATGTACGAGGGGTGATCAAAAAGTTCGCGAACTATCTCTATATTTACAAAACCACTATTCAGATCAGAATGAAATTTGGCACAGATATAGTCATAAAGATGTGCTATAAATAGCAGATGTTAGGTAATGTTTTGCTCCATGTTTGTGACGTCACAATGTAAAAATGACGTCAATATGTAGATGACTTGTAACAAAAAATGGCTGACTCGGCCATACTCGAGCAATGAAAGGCAGTAAAGTTTAACATATATCTTGGAAATTTCCTTGCAGTAGCATATAATAATTTGTGTACAAGGTTTATGAAGACAAAAGACTTGCCAGAAGTTCAATCATACATTGGATTGATTGTTTTAGTGAAGAAAGGGAGATGACTAAAATGATGTTTGTTCTGGTGCCCTGTGAAAGTAAGTTGGGAAAAAGATGAATTAGTTGAACAATTTGTTATGAAAGATCATTAAGTTATAGTTAGAAATATAGTTGAATATTTTAAGAATATTATAATTATTAAATCCCTAAAATACTGTTTTCTTTAGACTTTAAACATATCAGATATGATAAAAAGAAGGTGCTCATACTTTATCCACAAAGGAAAAAAAGACGCACCCAAGACAGAGAAGTCAGGTTGTGATGGTCACCATGCTCATTTGTGGAAAAGATATCCTTATCAACACATCCTATTGCGGAGATTTGGCCATTTATGACAAATGAACAATTCTTGTTTTTAAAAATAATTTGCATGGTAAGAAATATAATACTCGGAAAAATCTTTTAGCTTCTGTGAACAGAACGCTACGGAGCATGTCATGTGACTGCCTGGATCACGTGATTCGCGCATGGACAGAACTGTGGCAGATGTACATTAAAATTGGAGAGGACTACTTTAAAAAATAGTAAACACTGAAATCTAATTTTATTTATTTTATGGAAGTTATTCAATTAGTTCACGAACTTTTTGATCACCCCTCGTACATATCATAACAGGGAGTTCATTTTTTGTTTATTATTGAATACATTTGAATTAGTTGGAATTCAAGATCTATGACACTGTTTTCAAATATTAATTGAATAGAAATTTGTCATATTTTAACTGGAGACTGACATGATTTACAGTGGCTTTTTTCTTCAACTGGATTGGATTTCTGTGTTCGATATGCTTGTTCAACACGATAGCAGGACGATGTGGAGCATTGTCAGGATTGGGTCTCTCCATTGTTAAGTGGATCTTCATTGTTAAGGTTTGTCAAATTAAGGTTCTAGTGACCTATTGCTATTTGTTTTCGTTCACTGTCATGCATCATCTGTTAACTTTTGAACATTTTCAGCTTCTTCTCAGGAACCAATTTCAGCGGCCAATTTTAGCATATAGCATTTGGGGGTGAGGGGAAACAAAAATTCATGGTCTTAAACCCCCACCCCACCCCGGGCCTGAGGGCTAAAACCATATAAAATAATATGCATTTTTCATAATTATAATATGCATTTTTATATTTATTAAAATATTTTGAATTTTCCTTCTCCTTTTCACTTTATGTCTTACAATGAAATATATGGAGATAACGAACAGTATTCAAGCTCAAAAGTCCATTAAACAGTACAAAATAGGAGCAGAGCAAACACGGACCTCTAAACATCAGAGGTGGGATCAGGTGCCATGGAGGAGTGAGCATCCCCTGCCGACTGGTCACACCCGCTGTGTGCTCCTTGTCATGATCGGGAAATAACGGAAAAGTCCATCCACAATTCAGTGTGTATATAATGGCCTAACAATTAGTATGAAAAACGTCAGTCGGCATTTGACTCAATGATAAATTGTATTTGCTGACAAGGTCATTGTATCGACCATAGAACTTACGAAATGATGACTTTAAACGAGACAGCTGATATTCTTGTTTCATCAACTTGTTTGTCAATAATTTACCTCGTTTTAGAAATTGTACATACGTGGAGCATGCTCTTGCGTATCAAATCAACTGAGATATATATATACCCCGTATGCAGGTGATGAAGGTATATTGCTGCATAAGTAAGGGAAGTTGACGATTGAAAAGTTAAAGTCATCACGTTTATCATAAAGCTTGGTTGTTAGATTACCATTAACGTCTTTTTCAAGTAAAATATCAAAATATGAAACAGATGTGTCAGACTCTGTGGTATCTTTTATCTCAAGCTCACCAGGATATATCGTATCGACATAAGAATGGAAATAGCTATTGTTAATTGACAATACATCGTCAATATATCTAAATGTCAAGTTGAAGGCCACAGCAAGTGTTTTCTTCTTTTCAAGTACAAGATTTTGGACAAATTCTGCTTTATATGAATACAAAAAAAGGTCTGCTAATAACGGGGCGCAATTGGTACCCATGGGAATTCCAATAGATTGTTGGAAGACCTGGTCTCCAAAAACCACATAGATATTGTCAATCAGAAACTCAAGCATCTTTTTAATGTCAACTTCAGAGTACTTGTGTGTACAATCAGAATGTTTTTTAACAAAATAATTTTGCAAATGACCAATGACAAGGTAAGTATATTTACGAGTTCCATTTTTATTGAAAAAGCAGCTGTCAGTTATATCAAAAAGCCTGGACTTTAATTTATCGTGGGGAATGGTTGTGTATAAAGTAGAAAAGTCGTAAGTTTTTAAGGTGTTGATTTTGGTAAAATCTTGTGATTTCAAAAATTAGATCAATTTGACAACCCTAATATTAAATGATCAAGACCATTCAAATATGACCAAATCATCTGTTTTGTTTTTAGCACAATAAATGGGCCAGTGATTGGGCTGATGGAGACTCCTGGGTCTGGTGGCTTTTGCTTCTTTGTGGTAAGAATTGCCTCAATGATGACATGGAAAGGAAAAGTTCAATAGCATTTCAATATACATGTAGTGAGATTATTGTGTGGTAAAATTTGTGACAATTGTCACCAGGCCCTGGGGCCATGAAACATAGACAAGCTCACTTTTGATCTCAGTCTCACTTTTCCACTATATATTCCTTTTGTAAAAGTGAGACTGAGATCAAAAGTGAGCTTATTTTTAGTACAATTGTTGGAAAACAAATTCTTCTGTGCAAGAATGTCAAAATATTCTGCCTTTTCCTTCACTATAGAAGAAAAATACACCAAAGCAAGTTTTTAATAAATATTTTGTATACTTTCTAGGAATGCTGATTTTCTTGCGAGGAGCTATTCACTACATCAAGACAAAATATGAGTGGAACCAGATTCAAAACAGCCTGAGGAATAGAAATTTGTTCCTGTTTTAATGGAGTTACCTCCCCATTATTACAAATTTTCCTATAAATTTATTGCTATTCATTCTTTTGGTGTAGGTTATTCTAGATAGAATTCATGGTCTTTAAAAAAATTAATGAAAAGGAAGATTATTATTACAATGAAATTGGGTCAAATAGATTTTTACGAAATTATTTACCAGTGCTCAACGATTAAATGCCATATATAACAAGGTTTTTTACAGAATCATTTCCCTTTAAGATACACAAAATTGGGTTTAAATAAAACAGTTTTATTGTAGCTATGTCTGTGTATTTAATATTTTGATTTTGAGATGTGTTAAATATTAGTAAACTTGATGGATTTATATACATGTATCTTTACATTTTTATGAAATTTAAAAATACTGTACACAGTTTTCATTTTCTTCACATGTATTTTGTACTTTTCAGACAATTCTCCAAACCATCTATCATTCACAATAACTTTTGTTCAAGGTTCCATTAATTATAGTGACTAAAGAAACATTCTACACAAATTCATAGTTAACTAATTGGTTCGATGCTAGAATCGCAGCACAGTTAAGGCTGCAGTAAGGAGGCGGGGCCTAATTTATATGGGAAATGCTTACTATGACATCACACAAAAATATAAGTTCTTCAAATTACCACAAAATGAAATGATTTGCTATTTTAAACTGTTGAATAGCTTTAAACTACATCAATACTAACTAGTGCATGCATTATTATCGTTGGTTAAATCCCACACAGCAATATATAAACAATTCACTGATCGCAATGCACTTGTCAATGTGACGTCATATCGTAAAATTTGACGCAGTTTGTATGTAGTGAGAGGCGGATCAAGTTATATTTATACAATGAAAAATGTATTTTGTAATTAAATAAAATATAAATTGTAGATATATAAAAGGCCATTAACTTGGATGCGATGTCTATTTTATGATTTTATTCATATACTTCCCGTACATTCCCTAGACAAGCGATACTGTCGTATATTTGTATGCAGATTCATTGAAGGGTGATAGAAGGGTCGTAATAAATCGATATATTGCAAGGGCATACACTCAATGAATTATGACAAGCTTTTACACATAAACTCAAGAAGTATGAAGATATTTGAAAAGTGCTGCGAACCTGTTGAAATCTTGCAAATGAATTAATTATATCTATAATGTACTTGACCAGCAAAATATTCAACATACGGTCTAACAAATGTAATTTTAGCAATTAGATAGTAGAATCTATATAGGTTCGCAGCACTTTTCACAAACTACAAAGAGTGTTGAAAATAATTATATGTTAAACTTAGATTTTTAACTTGGTTATGCACTTGCAATATTAGAAATTATAGATGACCTCAATACTTCAGGTATATTTGCTAAAATCACGTGACTGCCACGTCACGTGACAAGTCTAAATAAGAAATCTAATCGTCCTCAACATGTAGTTTTCAACCACATTGCATTTGTCCGATAATAGTAAAGTCCTAAAAAGAAACGCCCATCCTTGTAAAGAATGTATTTCCTATCTAAAAAATTCGCCAATATTTCCATTTGGCACCTTAACTGTACTGCGATTATTGGCGATAAAAAAGAAGGTTGGAAGAAGGTAGAAAAAAAATTGGGTTTACAGCTATCTGGTTTTGTTTTTCACTTTTCTTGAATGTGTGCTTCTCATTCCTTTTAATATGAATATTCTTTGTTTAATTTCAGTGCATGCACGTTGCAGTGTAACTGCTGAAAAAAATGCATTGATGACTGTATACAGTATTTTTATTTCCTCTTTTTAAAAAACATGGCTGTGGAATTTTTTAAGAGTTTACCTTGGGTATACATTTATGGTGTCTGTTATCTGTGAAGTTTAATGGTGTTTTATATATCATCATTTGAACAAATAGATCTACATAATTGAACTTCAGTATCTCGAACACTGATATCTCGAATACCATGGATGTATCTAAGTGATTTGTGATTCCCCATCCCACTTATTCTTCAATCAAGTATTTTACCCTTGATATCTTGAATCCTCGGATATCTAGAATTTTTTTCTCGGTTCCTTCAAGTTTGAGATAACGAGGTTTGACTGTACAAATAAAGTGGAATAATATTCAAAATGTAAAACAGGTACCATTTGTATTCAGTTGTTTGTTAAAGTAAGTCTTTCAAAGTCGACGCCTTTCTGGTTATGCCTTTAATTGATTTTTTCCTTCCATGTTGTACATGTACATTCAGAGTGTGTTGAAGAAAATTATGTTGATTTATAAGAGGCCAACAATGGTATTTAGCTTTAGTTCAACGTAACATGGCTATCAGGGTCGGATTTTTAGATCAGAATGATAAAAATGATTCATCTCATTTATACGTTGTGTAATTTTGTAGGTATTTGAATATTCAGTGACACATTTACTTAGAAAGTAAATGTATATGTTTCTATGAAAGTCATATTAGCTTTACTCGTCAAATATTCAAGTATTAAAATATGTATTGATAAACTTTATCTGCTGGTGATACATTTTAAATACTGCTTTTTTCTACAATCTGTCAACTGAATTGGTTAGGGGTAAAAGTGTTTCATCTTTATTATTGGCCAGTATTTGGATTTTAGGATGATATAGTCAGCTTAGATTTAATTAAATTTGAAAATAAAGAATTGACAAAGACATATACCGGTAGTTATGTTTCTTTTTTACCATATTGTTGATGTTCATCATATTTGTACAATTATAAATTAGATCAGTAAATAAAATTGATGTTAACAAAGATATTGCATCTCTGCTAAATCTCATAGGGACAAAAATTGCATACTGCCCACATCCTATTTATACAGGATAGCTGTACAAATATTTAATGATCTAATAAATTAAAATATTTTTTTAATGAGGCTTGGTCCAAAAGAAGTTGGATTCAGTAGATGAAACTGAATAGCGTTTTTCCCCCTCTAATCCAAAAAAAAAAAAAGACTGTTGGTGGAAACATTCCATGTAAGAGCTAAAAATCGACCTTAAACTGGTTCTTCTCTTCGAGTTTCTGAGAACCAGTTTGTCAACAAAACCTTTTTACGAACGTTTACAGATGGGCAGGAGATATTATTGCGACTTTTGTGACAAATCATTCGCAGATAATCCTACACATCGTAAAAACCATCTGAAAGGGGTTCAACATCAAAGAAATAAAAAAGCCCACTATGATTCTTTCAGGTATGGCCATATGGTTGAGTGATGTATGAATACATATATAGCAGGTCCAGCACAATCTCTTGATAAAGCTATATAGCTTGAAATAGCTATAGAGCTTTATTAAGCTATTCAAAATAGCTTGATAAAGCTATTTATATGCAGATTTTCACAAAAATGTTATTTGTACAAAATACACAAAAAGTCGCAAGTATTTGACTATTCATATATGTAATATGGATTATCAAGTCAACAACCCAAATCAAAGATAGTTCTAAAATTGCAGCATTTGAATACTTTTAAGAAAAAGATGAATTTCCATTGTTTGGGTAACTGTACACTACCTTGTGTGCATTGAGGCATAGATAAGTATGATTGCCTCACATTGTACTGAATTATTACCAATCAATTATCTTGTTGACCATAATTGGCCTCCTTTATAATTTCATTGAAGAAGTAACTGTATCAATTGCTTTATATAGCCCCAAAACTTTTAGAACTTTGAGTACAAAGGCTCTTAAGGAGACGCAATTTGATGAGTGATTTTTACATGCATTATTTTCATAAGAGTTCAAGATTGAATATCATCACTGCACCAAAGTGTGACTTTTTATGCATACTTGGAAAATAACATATTTGAGAAAAAAGTGTGATAAAATAGCTAAATCAAGCTATTCTGAATAGCTTAATAAAGCTATATAGCTAAATCAAGCTATATAGCTTAATCAAGAGATTGTGCCGGACCTGTATAGCTAGCATGTCTACGACTTCAACATTTCAAGAATTTCGCAGAGTTTTTTAATATTGTAATCAAGGAACTATTCTAATCTAGCTTATATCTTGTGAGAATGAGTAGAAATTACACCAAAACTTTTTTCACTTACACTTTTTTCTCTACAGAAACCCAGAAATTATGCTTCAAGATGAACTTTCCAAGAGACCCTGCAAAAACTTCCTTAGCAGTGGGATCTGTAATTTTATGGACAACTGTAAATTTTCACATCTGACAGATAGAAGGAGGACAGAGCTAGAAAAACTGGTCGAAGAAAAGCAACGGGCCAAAGAACAGAAGAAGAGGAATTTAGAAGATGATGAAGATCCTGAAAAAAAGCTCTCAGAGTGGTTATCTAAGAGATTAAAGAAAGAGGTTAAAGTAAATGATCAGGATGAAAAGGCTCCTCTTTTACCAGTGTATGAAATCCCTCCACATGTGGCTCAAATACCAAACCCTCCACTATCCATCCTGCCCCCTTCACAAGATGTTCTTAGAGGACTGAATTTTGTGGACTGGGGTTGATGTGATATTGGACACCTGTAATATGAACAGTATATACCTACAATGAATTTGGGAGAGTTTCTTGAGACCAGTTACAATGGTTTTCTCTGTCGCTTTAACCTTTTCCAAACATATGTTACATAATTAAATATGTTATAAAAGATTGTATCATATACATGTGTATGTCATTGTATGCGTAATTGATGGAAAAGCTATTATGATAGATCAAGAAATCTATGCAGGTTACTTGCTTAAAATGGCATTTATTGACTGATAAACAGCAATTGTTTTCACAAGAAATAAAGGAAATAATGTTCAGTGGATGTAAATACATATATTATTATATAGATAAAATTTAAATGATATGAAACACTGGATATTGTATTTCATGTGTGTACTGTATTTTCTTGTGATGTGAGAAACAATCAAAATTTACTAGGGATGTCAATTTTGTCAATAATTCATATTTGAATATTCAATGAAAGTATTCGAATATATTCGAATATTTGATAAAATAAATTAAAGAGGCTGGGTGGTCGTGGCCATTTTTAGACTATATTGATCTCCTTTAGAAGAAGAGTTCCATATAAAGATATACAAAAATGATCAAATTTTAAAACTAAAATGTATGAATTTTTTCTTTGCCAAATGATAGTTGACAGCTTAAGATATATCTAAAAAAATAAGTTATATCTGGTGGTTAATTTGTTGACCCCCCAGCCTCCTTAAATCTGGATTATTTTTAATATACATCATCCTGCTCTCATGAAAGGTTAATTAGCGTACGTATTCTTATATTGGAAGTAAAATTGTATGAAGACTTTTGTAGGTGTACAATAAGAAATTCCATTTGATATTTGTCAATGTTTGAAATAAATAATTGATTTAAATGTAGAAAAGTATCAATTTAACAAATGATACATGTGTATTTATAGTAGCTCCAACTGGGGAACCAGTCATCTTACCAAAGGCAAGATAGTCATATACTGTTCAGAGTTCAATATGTGTAATTAATTACAATTATCAGTCTAATAAGAGATATGATGATAATCTTTGATACAATGTTTTTAAAATATAAACAAATATTTCCATAGACAATTTTCCTAGGTAATTAACTACTTTCCCGATAATGAATATAAAATTCAGGATTATGTACAACCCGAGATAATTAAATAATTTACACATTTTTTCTGAAATTGAGCCCTTAACAATATTAATTACAGACTAATTCTATCGGACATTCATTCAATGATCAACTAAATTTATTTGATAAGTATACCCTACACGTCTTTTAGACATTTTAAAAAGGTTTTCTTTTGATGTCCTCGATTCTAGATCCGATCGTATTTATTTAATAAAAACGATGAAAGTACATTTTGTATTATAGATAAAGCATTATTGTATAATTCTTTAACACCGTACTCAAAACAAAATAATTTAGTAGATACATAAGATATGAAAGTAGTGAAAGAAATCAGGCGATCAAAATTGATCGCTAGTAAATTAAACGGGGATAATTCCAGCACTGTTCTAATAAAAATTTATTAACCACAGTACTTCTTTTTATGAAATCAGAAAAACATCGAATATTCAAATCTTAAATTCATATTCGAATATCAATTCATCGAATGAATATTCGAATGTTCGAATATTCGTTGACATCCCTAAAATTTACAGTAATGTTATTTTTTTTTTGCGACGGCTTTCAAACAAGAATTTGGTTTAAGAAAAAGAAAATGCATTATCTAAAAGACTTTTTCTTAGCTTGTTCTTTCAAATTTAATAGAAGTAAGTGGGTAAGTTTTATTAATAAGCTAATTTTTCCTAATTGTTGTTAATATGTCTGGTTGACTTTTCCAGTCATCAAAGTAAATTACATGTATGTGAATAGAAAAAATTGAAACTTTAATGAGAAAATATGTTTTTATTGTATTTTCAGAGAAACTGTATTCATTTTTAAATGTCATCATATAGCTGGTTCTGATATCAAGAGTAAGGAAATGAATTTTTTTTTTTTGTTCTTTTATTTCTAGTTGTATGATTGTCCATTATGAATGCACTTTTAAGAGTTGTCTACCTTTAGCCAGTGAACTTGATGAGGTAACAGTCGATGAACGAGAAAAAAATCTGTATGTAATAACCATCTTACTGATGTCAATGTATTTTTCACAGATGTTTATGGTAAAGTCCAGATTCAGGAAATACAGGTTGGATGAGTCAGTGTCTGGAGTCTATGAAATAAGATTTTTAAAGTTTTTTTTTTCATTTCATGACTTTACCGTAAATTGTCCCTTGTTTACAACAGATGAAAAAGATTTTTATGTAGTGGTTTTATGACTGTCACTTTAAGGTCCACTCAGACTCCTTTGTCATCGGAGAAGGGACAGATCATCCTAATCTAATAAAAGTCAGAAGTTTATTTTTATTGGGGTTTGTGTGATGAGCACCTTAAAGAAAGTAATGTGGCATCGTCGGTATCAAGTAGAGATGATATATCCACTAGCAGATGACATTGGGATTGGGTTTGTAGGTGACAGACGGACAGTGCTTCTTATTTTGTCAATAGTTGTCATCATTATTCACTCATTTTCAACTGTTTCATTTATTTTTAAGTTGCATTGAATCTAATTTTGTGGATTTTTTTCCCATCAATTTGTATCATTCAAAAAAGCCAATGGACAGGACACAAATTACTTTTAGTGTAATGTATACCATTTATTCAGACAAATCTATGGTATTTATTATCTACCAAGTGTGTATCTTTGCAGTCATTCACTGCAAAACTTTCCTGTAAAATCCATTTCCTATTTGTGGTACGCTTAAACCATCACAGAACTTTAACCATCAATGGACAGAGTTTCTAATTTTCTTTTCTTTTAAGAGTGAATTGTAGCTTTTTCTTGTAAATTGTGTAAAGATAGGAAATGTATTCATGGTGGAATTATTTCAGCTGTATTGCATTTTCTTTGTTAACCTTTGAAGTCCCAAACAGAGTTCCAAGCTTGCCTATGACAGTCCCGTAATTCAAACATAATTACAGACCAAGAGGTGTCAATGTTACACATTTTAAAAACCCTTGAAATAATGAATGTATTTTTGCACATGATAAAGTTACATTTAATGAGAGATTTTTCACAGTGATGTGATATCAACATGTAAAATGAGTTTTTTGTGATGTAAAGTTAACCATCGAGAAACATTCCAGGCTTGTTTCTTTATTTGGATAATGTGAAGGTGCCAAGACCTCACACTATTCAATCCTTAAAGGACAAGACTGCTAACAGTTCAATTCTATGTTTTATGTCACTTTGTCAATAAGCAAATAGACCTGGCTTGTGATTTTGAAGACCTTACAGTTTGATTTGGATGGTAACACCCCCTGGATTTTGCTAATTAGGGGAGTTCGTTTGACCCCACACATGCAGGTGTTATGTTGAATTTATTTTGGGCATTTGTTTAATGTCATGAATTTTTCAGGAGATAAATACTGGACAATTCTGTAGCAAGTCTTAGAAAGAGTTTGTACATTTTGAAAACTAGACGTGCACTGCCCGCCTTACAAATTGCATTTCCAAATAGGACATTGTCTGCATTAAAGGAAATTTTGAATATATATTTATTAATTAAAATATTTTTTGTTCATATTTTCAACTCTTATTGACAACAACCAAAATTAATAATAGACAGACTTTGATGCTTTTAAATAGACATTGATTAATTGATTATTACATGTATTTTACTATAAATTATTTTTTGTTGTTGTTGGATTAAAGACTAAAACTTCCGAAATGCAAAGATTCAGTACCGAATTCTTTATACTAAGATTAGAAATGAAGAAATTAAATGGCAGCTTTACATACTTTTCAGAAAAAAGAGCAAATAAAAGATTTAGTTTGAAATGTCTCAGCAAACAAAAGGAGAAATCTCAGTGAATCTTGACCCTTATAATTAAGTGATGGGATTGGAGCCACGTAGAGGCAATGCCCCACCTTTTGAGTAATGATGTTTATTTAGGAGTGTTGAGCACATTTGTTATGGCCAACAAATCATCTCAGTTTTTTTGTATGACTGAATCTCACATGTGTTAGATGGTGCTCAATGTTCAAAAATATTGAATAAATGTATAATGACAAAAAATACTGGTATTGATATTCAAATCTTAATGAGACTTAAATTTGGAAACAAGTAATATCAATTCAAGTCCATAGTTTTGTACTTGATAGGCCATGAACATGGAAGACAGGATTATGGTACAGAAATAAATGACAATTAGATTAAAACTGCACTTCATTATCAAAGTAGAACTGTAAATTAAACAAAAATTATGCCTGTATTAATAATTAAAGAAAAAAATTTAAATATTGTGTAATTTGCACAGCATTTTAATTTAACTGAATACCATCAAAGAAGTGAGAAAGCCTGCATGTGCAGCCTAACAGAGAGGGACTTGGTTTGCTTTCGTGATAATATAAGTTTAACAGTGTCAGACCAGGAAGAACTGATTTTTGAGGTAGATTACATGTTTGAAAGCAAACATTACAATTATTAATATACATCCTGTGGTCCCTATAATGTATTAATAAAATGTAGAAAGGAGACATAGGATATGAATGAAGAGTTTTGTTCAAAGTTTGCTGAAGATGGAATTAAGTTGAGTCAGTGAGTGATGAAAAAGATTGTACCAGTCTAATGGATACATTGAACTTACATTTGGGATATCATTAGCTTTTTCTAGACCCTTTCACTACTGATACCATCTGTATACTCAAATCAATTTTATTTATGATTCATTTGTATAACAGAATTTTTCCATTTTATTGCTTTAAAAAATGGTTTTTATTCAATTTGACAAAAGAAAAATAAGCTTATTTGAATAAGTTGCAGGCTAACTGTAACTGAAGTAATTCTCCAAAGCACAGAGCTGTAAAAGTATATTGCTAGTTAAATATAAGCTTTTTTCTCAAAATATATTTTTTTCTTGAAATTGTTTTAATTTGACACCAGAAGTTATTGCAACATACATCTCTAGAATTAGAAATTACTTATTTTAAAGAATCTGAAAGAAGTAAGAAGTTGATAGAGTCCAAATGAAACAACCCATCAATTTTTTTTCAACATTCAATACAATCTCTCTATAGTTGACACATGAGAATGTCAGAGTTATTTTACCAATGAGCATTACTTATTTATAGCATGTAAATTATGTTTCTTTGAATATACTGATACAACTTGCAGTCTGTTGATACATGTACCGGTAGTTGCGTGTTAGCAGTAACTCACTATAAATTCATCACTGAGAGCAGCTTTATGTTTGAAAGAACAGGATGACCCATTCCAATGCTTTCGTTGCTTTAATACTAGTACTACAACTTGGTTATTGTACAGTTTTCATTCCTCTGTATGTGGTTAATAAGTTCAATAAAGGTGCTCTGTCAATC